ATAACCAGAACCTTAAAGGGATTGTTTGATAACACAGACCGGAAGGATAGTTTCTAGCTTTTAATGTTTACTCTACATGTGTATTATAAGAACTAACTACAAGTATCAGAGAGGCAGAGCATGCATGCATTATACATAGGAGGCGGGGCTTATTATAACTGACAGCAGCATATAGACCCATTGCACAATGACATCACAAGCACCTGCTACCAGAATTTAGCAGATTTACCGGTTGGCAAGAAGAACCAATATTTATAAACATTATATAGCAGCAGAATTTTTAAATTCTTATAACTTTTTTGTTTGTGGATCGATTTTTTAGATTCTTATATCATTTAAAAGTTCTTTGTATTCATATTTTTAAAATATAAGCGGATTTTCATTTTTTGCTTTTAAAAAATAAAGCTCAGCTATTTTTCAACTGTTATTTCAATAGTTTTCTAGCACCAAGTTTAACTCCTTACCAAGAAAAAATGAAAACGCTTTGTTAATTTATTTTTTAATATATAAAATATGAGTAAAACGACCTTTCTAATGATATAAAATACTAAGCTGTTTCATGAAAAATAAGTTTTTTATTATAAATATAAAATTACTATATTTTGCATTTTATCAGCCACCATTTTTTTGCCAACCATCCGAAAATTACCTGTATCTCTTATCAGCAATGTGTTACTATTAATAGATTTCATAACAATAACATGCAAAGGGCCTATAGTACAGAGATAACTATCAATATATGTATTTTCAACGAGAATATATGGTCAATTGCACTATAAGATTTGCGAAATCCTGCTTGTTCCTCGTTAAGTAATTTATAACATTCTGAGTAAGAGTTAAGCCATGTATTTATAACATTGGCAAATAATTTGCCAAAAAAGCTTAAAATAGTTATATCACGATAATTATTTGGACCATTCTTGTCACCTTTTTTTCTTTACAATGGTAATATCATTCCACGACTACAAACATATGGGAATATTCCAGAGTCTGAAAACATTGTTGAACAATTTACAAATAATAGATATAATTAAGATGACCATTGTTTGCATATCTAAAATATTTAAAGCAATATTAATTAGAAGGCATCAAAATCTGACTCCGTGTCACCCTGGTAAGACTCAACCGTGTTCATTAAAAAAAATGTTCAAAGAACAATTGACTAAAAATATTGTTTAAAACGTTCATTCTTTCACACGAGTATTTGTAAAGAAAACTTCAAAAAGCTTTAGGGTGTTGTTGTTGTATTTGAGTTTATTTATACTTGCCATCGGTTGCCCATATGGGCGAGTCTCCCAGAAGAGTATTAGTCATTTTAGATGTAGGATAGTGCAAGATACAGATACAGAAATATGCCCCGATTTCAAAAGCTTCTCCTGGCTCTTTAACGTGCCAAGTGTTTAAGCGCTCATACACGTACGTGACCTAGATTTAAAGTCTCGTCCGAAAGACTGATTATTTTAGTTGGCCAGCCCGGGAATCGAACCTACAATGTCTAGATTACAAGTCTCGCGCTCTAACCGATTGAGCTATGCGGGCTGGCAGGTTTAGGGTCACTTGACCGTACATTTTTAAGCTTACATCTTGCTGATAACCTTAGTTTTGTATTCATAGATTTCCTATAAATTGTAATACTACATAACATCCTTTAATAGTTCTTTATAGACTTAATTATTCTACAATATTTTTTTCATGATGGTATCTAGTACATACAACTTTACAATCATTATCAAACCATTCATTATTAACACATGACTTTTACTCTTAATTAACATGTCAATTGTTGATAGTCAGTTTACAGCAGAAACATATAAATACATGTATTTTAACGAATGTCAGACGTTTCACTCCCAAGATGTTTCACTATTGAGACGTTTCACTCCCAAGACGGTTCACACCTAGACGTTTCACTCCCAATTTGTCATTTGTATGGACGTTTCACTCCCATTTTTTTTCTAGATATTTACTGGAAAAGTTAATCATTTTTATTTTCATTATTTTGGGGAAATTTAATTTAATGTTTCATTTTAATGCTTTTGGGTGTATTGTTAATAATAATTTATGACTTTGAAGGTAAAAATATTTTTTTATGAAATGTTAAAGAATGCGTAAATAATATCATCTATACAGTATAGTAACAGCTCAGAAAAGTTAATTTTGATCTGTTTACACAGTGTTGTTGAATTGTTCCTGTTATTAGGAGTGAATATATTGGTTTCATGCATATGATAAATTATTAGGTGATTACTCATTTAATTATGGGTTGGATGATAAGAGGTTTAAATGAAAGACAAATTTCTGAAATTTAATTTTTATTGTAAGAATAACAACATGAGAAAATTCTATTTATAAATAATTAAAAGAATAACATAGAAATGATAATTTTTATAAACAACAGTATCAATGAATATTGAAATCACTACCATTACAGTTATCAATATTGTTATATAAAAATCGTAGCAAAAAGTGTTTCATTTAATAGAAAGTTGATCATGATTTAACAAAGAAATGATGAAATTTACTTGATATAACTAAGAAATTTTACTTTAGTACACATTTTCATATTATTTTATTAGATTTAAAAAAAAAATAGCAATTGAAATGATACTTGTTTAATTAATTATCAATAAGAAAATTTAATCAAATTAAAAAAAAAATGACAATATGTACAACAAATATATTTCAATAACAGACAATTTAGACATGACAATATGTACAACAAATATATTTCAATAACAGACAATAAAGACATGACAATATGTACAACAAATATATCACTTTTCACTCACTTTTTTTGTAATTAGCATATTTTCACTAGGCGAAGCTTAATCTGAATAAGCACGTGTTAACATTTACTTGTTTCATGGTGCATGTCAGTTCAATCAGACACTGATTCACTTAAAGCCTAGTTACAACTGACTCTTCACTGGTGGATGGAGGTTTCTCACATTGGGGTCCATAGGCATCTGCACATTTGTTTAGAAGTTCACTGGTATTGATGTTGTTTGCACAATATTGTTCCCAAAGAGCCCTGATTTTCTCCTCAACTGCTCAACTGAAATGGCGAATTTCATACGCAATTGACTCTGCCTCACTTCGCAGTGCTGGCACTAATCTATAAAATGTGAGTGGTTGGTACCCTGCTTTCCTGTTCAATCTATGATGCCAGCCTGCAATGGAAATGATATTGTTAATACAAAACTTGACATAATCAGTAAAAACTCTGTTGTCCTGCAAGTACTTCGTTTATTACATATTTATATTCCGTCAAACAAATAATCCCCCCATGCTCCAAAAAGGAAAGAATTAAATTAACAAGAACATAATAGTTTAAATTTGTTTTCAACATCTCTATTATTTAATATTATTATATATAGCTTTATTGTTATTTAAAATGTCTAACTTAAAGATATACTATGCTCAAATTTTATTTTCATTTATCTTTAATACAATTCTCCAAAATTGATTTTTTTATCACAAATGATCATTATACATAACAATTATTGAAAAAGTACCAAATTGAATTTTCTGATAAATTAAATTTAAAGTTGCTGCTAGGTAAATGTTTAAACATATGCATACATAATACAGGGTTGAAAATTTCCTAAAAAATTGTTTATAAAATATATAAATATTTATGATAACAAAAATAATGCATTCTTACCTGTTCCACATGTACGATGTGTCCAAAAACTACATTCATCACATTGAAAAGCCTGTTGTTTTTTACGTACAGTCAAATCACACACTATACAATTATCCAACATTTTGATAATAAACTTTTCACAATAACACAACTACAAATTATGTATTCCACAAGTTTTATTAATAGTAATTAGTTCAATATCCTTTTCTTTTCAATTAGAAATATATAGAGACATATATTGACATATATTGCTAAAGCACTATACTAACAATGAATAATTTAACATTTTTTATCCCACTATTTAAAGAAAAAACAAGTTTACTCAAAGTTAAATGTTTGTAACAAGATTGCAACGTTTTGAATAAAACGTGCATATTAAGTCCATGTTTACAAGAGATCAAACAATTAGTTATGTGAAAGTGTCCTTTAATCAAAAAATATAATTTCTTTAATTGAACTAATGTGATAATTGTATTTATTGATCAAAGAATAGAAAATTATCTTTATTTCAAAACAAAATAAAAAAATAATTAACTTAAAAGAAAGATGGGCCAACATAAAGAGATCAAAGATCCTTTCAATCAAGTAAAAAAAAACAAAAAGAACAAACAAAACTGTAACAATTATGATATACAAACATAATGTACTGATTTTAAAGTCAAAGACAAAAAGTGAAATCCTCTTTTTTAGTTCATTTTTATTAATTTTAAAATCTATTTTAGTGTTCAAGACGTTTCACTCCCATTTGGGAGTGAAACGTCTTGGTGTGAACCGTCTTGGTGTGAAACGTCTCAATAGTGTAACGTCTGTCTACCTATTTTAACGTCTTTGTTTTATGTCTTTGCCTTGTGCCCTGTTCTACGATTATTTGCTTTCTTGCTGGGCTCCTTGCCGGTAGTATGTGTCGTGTTTGGTCGTGTGGTGGTTGCTTTCATTGAACCCTGTCGATCCTTCCTAGATGGTCTTGTATTACAAATTTTACAGGTCCTACTGTATAGATCTGCAAATTAAATTATCATTATATGGTGACAGTCGGTTTGCGGCGAGCAATTTACAGAAATATAGCTATGAATTTTTGTTTCATAGGTAAAAAAAGGGAAAGATACGCTATGTACAAATTCGAGTGTTATTGGAGTGTAAGGCTATTTTCTGTCTAAAGACGGGGCACGGAATGTACGGAATTGAAAAAAGTGAAACAGATTTTAACCAATAATATCGGGCTGAATATAAAAGGAAACAAAAACACTTTTAAAGAGATTGAATAATTATCCACTTATTTTATTTTTGTTTTTGAAGAAACTCCGATTCTTTTAATCGACTGTTTAACTAAGGCAGATTTTATTTTTATTTTACAAATTTATAGACGCTATTATTTCGACCAATCGCGTCAACCCGTAATCGATCTTTAGGGCAAGAGGCGCCGCCATTGTGATACGAATAGTTAGGGATCGAGGCAAATGGACCCACAAGCTGCCTTTGCTGACGCTGTTGCCCGTGCTAGACAGGTATAATTAGGTTAATGACAATTTTCAGTATTTTATTTATTTAAATGAAGCGTTCAGTAATATTTTAAACTGTTAAATACACAGATGAATGCATTTTAAATATTGGCGGAACGCACGCGGTCAAAGCCTCGTGGTTGCTTATTTCTTTCAACCTTTTCCAGCTGAATTTATGCGGTCCAATGTTATTCTTTTGTACTTTCTAGCGTAAATGTTTAGTGGATATCTTGAAGAGTGAGCACGCGGCAGTAGTTTGCAATATTTGGAGGTCGGACGGAATCATAACCGAACGTCAGAAGCGTGGAAATTTTTTCATTTGCACCAGCCTAGTTTAGGGGATCCTGAAATATTTAAAAAAGTTTTATTGTTAAGGATCATGTTGGCCACATATTTAATTTAGGTCGTTCATTTTGGCTTGCGACTTCTAAAATGTAATGCTTTTCCTTCTTTACCTTTATCAGGTCTAGGATTTCATGATATTTATGGACTGTCCGTAAATTTATAGACAGTCTAGAAATTTAAAGATTTTTCAATCCATAAATTTACAGATATTCAATGTGAAATTTGCTGTTTTTAGTTTTACAATAAAATCCGCAGCTAAAGACAAGTTGTTTTATTGATTGTTTATATTTACAAAGGTAATGGGGTGAGTTTCATCTTTGTATGATGATTTTGAAATTTTTGTTAAAAGTGAAAATTGAAAGTCGTCAAACTGTTCTGAATCTTAGCAAACTGTTACATTTAATCATATAATACCTAACCTTATTCATTTTAACCTGCGGTTTTAAATTTCAATGCAACTTCTACTATTTTCTTACTTAATGTCTGTAAATTTACAGATAAGAAAATCTGTAAAATTATGGATTGTCCAAAAATTTACAGACTGTCCGTAAATATCATGAAATCCTAGACCTGTTTATAGTGTAATTTCAGAGATTTTGCAGTCTCTGACTTAAAAATTTTGGAACTAAATTGAAGCCCTGGTTTACTCCACCTTAGACATCAAGCCAAGGAATCAAATACTAGTTTCCTTGTTGCTTATTGTGGCACGTATTGGCAATATCCTGGATTAAAGAATATGAAATGAACTTTTGTGTTAGATACAGAATAACACTGTTGTTTAACTTCCTTAATTCTCAAATTTATACCATTCTAACAATTCTTACCTAAAATAACTTTCTGTTCAGTTTAAAGAATTAAATTATAAGTACAGTCATAAAATTGCATATTTCACTTCGATACATCAGTTTAAATGACCGACAGTCTGCCATGGCACTTAGGAACTACACAAGAAACCATGTAGATTTAAAAAGTGCAAGAATAATCTGTGTTTACATAAACATATTTGTATTCAGGATAGTTCCATAATTATTATATGTAGTAACTGTTACTGTAAGTGCATGTATCACAGTATCCACTAACATTTCTTTCAAATAATTGGTCCTCAAAGATTTAAATGATAGACTGGTACACCACTTCCAGTGCATCTGACATCAAATACATCAACTGGTACATTATACACAGTTTTTACACACATTGGTGCATCACGAACAAATCTGGTAATACAGTGTTTTTTTCTCCACAGACACTTGCGGTTTGGAGCTCAAACCGCCTTTAAAATCCAAATAAAATGCATATTTGTCAATACCAGCACATGTACTGATCATATATATATCAAAAAAACTTTAAGCCGTTTTGAAAAAATTCATATTTCAACATCTATAATAATAAACAAGATAAAAATGTTCGCCGGAAAAAATCCGCACCCCTACCGTCATAATCACCATGTATCACCACAAACGTGGCCCCAGCTTTGCCGTGTGCAAAATGCGCAGCTCTTTTAAGTTTGGGAACCAAATAATCGGATGGTTTCCTTCATAGCCGACTGTCACGTTTGAATTTATCGAAAGATTTTGTAAATGGAGGAAACCGGCGATAATCTTGATGTTTATTTCGGATGTTGCATTGTTTATATTATCGTTGAAGTTTAAAATTGACCATCATCGCGAAGAATTATATCTTATGTGTTGATGGACCAAAGGATTATGTGGAAATGGAATAAAATACATGGTGCTTATGATGGTAGGGGTGCGGATTTTTTCCGGCGAACATTTTTATCTTGTGTATTATTATAGATGTTGAAATATGAATTTTTTTCAAAACGGCTTATATTAAGTTTTTTTGATATATATGATCAGTACGTGTGCTGGGATTGACAAATATGCATTTTATTTGGATTTTTTAAGGCGTTTTGAAATCCAAACCCCAAGTGTCTGTGTTTTTCTCTACTTTGGGAATGGTGCTGGTACCAGACTGATTGGGAAAAATGCGTTATTTTGAATTAAATTGGGATTTTTTTCATGCATTTTTTCAGCTACAAATAAGATTAGTCATCATGAATAAAGATAGCTTACAGCTTCCACTGTCCAGGTAGAACTATTGCGTGGTGATTTATATAAAAATATTGTATTTAAATGATTTCAGAGAAATTACTTTGCCTTGTGGCAATTTTGAACAGCCATTTTGGGAATTTAAACTTTGGAAATTGGGAATTTTAATGTCTATTTTCTATTGGGAACAATACTGTTTTAGGGTAGTAGTTATATAAAGAAAAAAAACACTGTAATATACCAGGTCCGTTTCATGACATACTCAGGCCCTTGATGCTTCAATTGGTGAAAATGCCCTGAAGTCTGTCCTTGGGCTTTTGTTTTTTTAACCATCTTTAACTTTTTATATAGAAAACAAATAAACTTACAATACTTATTTCACTGCTAAAACATAATGGTTCTTGTATATAACAAGTTATTTTACAGTAACTTTCTCATACAATTTGAAGGAAATTTTGCCAATCCTGCTTTAGATGATTATTGTTCTTTTGTTTTGGAATAAAAAGCATTGGAAGCAATATCAAATCAAGCAATAGAAGTTTGATGATTGTAACCAGGAAGTACAAAACTAATGTAGAAAAATATTAAAGGTAGTTTTGCTAGATTTAATCATTAATTTTGAATACTAAAGTACCTGGTAGAAATTATACTTATATCTTGGCAATATTTGAATTTTCTACCCTCCAGTTGCCACACCAATGATTTATTTTTATTGTCTTTAATTTACTTTACAGATCGCTGCTAAAATAAATCAACCAGGCCAGTGTGGTGCAGGGGATGGTATATCACCAGGTAAAAGACCATTAGACGCTGATCCAAACAATTTTGGTGAGTACTCGTGTGTGCTCACAAATAACTGGAGCAAAGGTCACAAGACTCTTTGAGAGGATTAAATTAAAAACAAAGCTTTGAAAAATACTTTGGACAATATGTAGTTTCTTAATTATGCCCCCTTTTGAAAAAAAGGGGGTATATTGCTTTGCACTTGTCGGTCCGTCGGTCCGTAGACCAAATGGTTTCCGAGTGATAACTAAAGAACCCTTAGGCCTAGGAACTTCAAACTTGGTATGGTGATTGGTCATGACAAGTAGATGACCCCTATTGATTTTGGGGTCAAGGGGTCAAAGGTCAAGGTCACATTGACCTCGTAAGCAAAAATGGTTTCCGATCAATAACTAAAGAACCTTAAGGCCTAGGAACTTCAAACTTGGTATGGTGATTTGTCATGATCAGTAGATGACCCCTATTGATTTTGGGGTCAAGGGGTCAAAGGTCAAGGTCACATTGACCTCGTAAGCAAAAACGGTTTCCGATCAATAACTAAAGAACCTTAAGGCCTAGGAACTTCAAACTTGGTATGGTGATTTGTCATGATCAGTAGATGACCCCTATTGATTTTGGGGTCAAGGGGTCAAAGGTCAAGGTCACATTGACCTTGTAAGCAAAAACGGTTTCCGATCAATAACTAAAGAACCTTAAGGCCTAGGAACTTCAAACTTGGTATGGTGATTTGTCATGATCAGTAGATGACCCCTATTGATTTTGGGGTCAAGGGGTCAAAGGTCAAGGTCACATTGACCTTGTAAGCAAAAACGGTTTCCGATCAATAACTAAAGAACCTTAAGGCCTAGGAACTTCAAACTTGGTATGGTGATTTGTCATGATCAGTAGATGACCCCTATTGATTTTGGGGTCAAGGGGTCAAAGGTCAAGGTCACATTGACCTTGTAAGCAAAAACGGTTTCCGATCAATAACTAAAGAACCTTAAGGCCTAGGAACTTCAAACTTGGTATGGTGATTTGTCATGATCAGTAGATGACCCCTATTGATTTTGGGGTCAAGGGGTCAAAGGTCAAGGTCACATTGACCTCTTAGGTAAAAACAGTTTCGGATCAATAAATAAAGAACCCTTAGGCCTAGGAACTTCAAACTTGGTATGGTGATTGGTCATGATCAGTAGATGACCCCTATTGATTTTGGGGTCAAGGGGTCAAAGGTCAAGGTCACATTGACCTCTTAGGTAAAAGCAGTTTCCGATCAATAACTAAAGAACCCTTAGGCCTAGGAACTTCAAACTTGGTATGGTGATTGGTCATGACCAGCAGATGACCCCTACTGATTTTGGGTCAAGGGGTCAAAGGTCAAGGTCACATCAACCTTGTAAGTAAAAACGGTTTCTGATCAATAACTTAAGAACGCTTAGGCCTAGGAACTTCAAACTTGGTATGGTGATTTTTCATGACCAGCAGATTACCCCTTTCGATTTTGGGATCAAGGGGTCAAAGGTCAAGGTCCCATTGACCTTGTAAGTAAAAACGGTTTCTGATCAATAACTAAAGAACACTTGGGCCTAGGAACTTCAAACTTGGCATAGTGATTGGTCATGATCAGCAGATGACCCCTATTGATTTTGGGGTCAAAGGTCAAGGTCACATTGACCTTGTATGTTAAAACGGTTTCAGATCAATAATAAAAGAACCCTTAGGCCTAGGAACTTCAAACTTGGCATGGTGATTAGTCATGACCAGCAAATGACCCCTATTGATTTTGGGGTCAAGGGGTCAAAGGTCAAGGTCACATTGACCTTGTAAGTAAAAACGGTTTCTGATCAATTAAGTAAAAACGCTTAGGCCTAGGAACTTCAAACTTTGTATGATGATTTGTCTTGACCAGCAGATGACCCCTATTGATTTTGGGGTCAAGGGGTCAAAGGTCAAGGTCACATTGACCTCTTAGGTAAAAACAGTTTCGGATCAATAAATAAAGAACCCTTAGGCCTAGGAACTTCAAACTTGGTATGGTGATTGGTCATGATCAGTAGATGACCCCTATTGATTTTGGGGTCAAGGGGTCAAAGGTCAAGGTCACATTGACCTCTTAGGTATAAGCAGTTTCCGATCAATAACTAAAGAACCTTAAGGCCTAGGAACTTCAAACTTGGTATGGTGATTGGTCATGACCAGCAGATGACCCCTACTGATTTTGGGTCAAGGGGTCAAAGGTCAAGGTCACATCGACCTTGTAAGTAAAAACGGTTTCTGATCAATAACTTAAGAACGCTTAGGCCTAGGAACTTCAAACTTGGTATGGTGATTTTTCATGACCAGCAGATTACCCCTTTCGATTTTGGGATCAAGGGGTCAAAGGTCAAGGTCCCATTGACCTTGTAAGTAAAAACGGTTTCTGATCAATAACTAAAGAACACTTGGGCCTAGGAACTTCAAACTTGGCATAGTGATTGGTCATGATCAGCAGATGACCCCTATTGATTTTGGGGTCAAAGGTCAAGGTCACATTGACCTTGTATGTTAAAACGGTTTCAGATCAATAATAAAAGAACCCTTAGGCCTAGGAACTTCAAACTTGGCATGGTGATTAGTCATGACCAGCAAATGACCCCTATTGATTTTGGGGTCAAGGGGTCAAAGGTCAAGGTCACATTGACCTTGTAAGTAAAAACGGTTTCTGATCAATTAAGTAAAAACGCTTAGGCCTAGGAACTTCAAACTTTGTATGATGATTTGTCTTGACCAGCAGATGACCCCTATTGAGTTTTGGGTCAAGGGGTCAAAGGTCAAGGTCATGACCAGTAGATACTTGATAACCCTTATTAATTGTTTGATCACTGGGTCAGAAGTCATGCATAATTACCTTATCACATGAATAATTGGCTGCTGATAGGGGGCATACATGTTTTACAAACATATCTTGTTTTGGAATATTAACTGCAATTACAATTAAGATTTTGTGATAAGATATAATGAAAATAGAATTGTTGGTGTCAATGGAAGTTTTAAGTACATGTTAACATTATTGAGAAAAAAGAATGAAGCAAAGTAAACATATAGACCTACTTTGACCATTGTTGATTTTTGGAAATTAAATTTTATATAAATGTTTGTTTTTTCTTGTGTAATGGCTAAAATTTAAGAAAATAACAGAAATTGGGATCCTCTATTTTATTTATTGGCCGGGTTGCACAGGTGCAAACCTGGGTTATAGTATGGTGAATGTTGGACGGCGGGCGGGGAAAAAACTTTCGTAAACAGTTTTCTCAGCAGCTACTAATCACAGCCTCATGATATTTGGCATACAGCATTAACATGTGGTCCCATAATGTGGGATTCGATTTCAGGTCTGTCGCTCATCCACTTCCTGTTTGCCGCCTTAGTTAAATTTTCAACATTAATGGTCAATGGTAGGAAATTTTCGTAACAGTTTTCTCAGCAACTACTTCTCACAGCCTCTTGATATTTGGCATACAGCATTGGCATACAGCATTAACATGTGGTCCCATAATTAGGGATTCGATTTCAGGTCTGTCGCTCATCCACTTCCTGTTTGCTGACAGTTAATTTTGCGACATTAATGGTCAATGGTAGGAAATTTTTTGTAACAGTTTTCTCCGCAACTACATATCACAGCCTCTTGATATTTGGCATACAGCATTAACATGACTTGTGGTCCCATAATGTAGGATTTGATTTCAGGTCTGTCGCTCATCCACTTCCTGTTTGCCAACTTAGTTAAATTTTCGACATTAATGGTCAGTGGTAGAAAATTTAAATAACAATTCACAGCCTCATGATATTTTGTATACATATGCAACCTGGCCTTTTCTGTCTTTGACCCATTTTTTTTATTCGTATGACGTGTAGTATAATATATAAATGTGAACAATTCCATATACCAGAGTAAACTGAGGAAAGAGAGAAAAGTCTCACAAAAGCATTATTTTATTATAATCGCAAAACAGAGCAAAATCTGCATGGGGAGCTGCCTGTATTTAAGGGCTGTATGAAGTTAATTTTATTGCAGCTTTTTGCCTTTTGAAATGGGAAATTTTGAATGTGGTTATCATGGGCAATTTCAATACATTTGGTATCCATTGTTAAATTAAAAAAAAAAATCTTTTCAAACTTACCTTTCCTGGTGAAGTCAATGCCTTTAAATGTAAAATTATTATAATACAATGTTTTTCATGACCATATCAACATGTCAAATTCTCAATTTTGAAGTGGTTTATAAATATTCAGCCACTGTCTGCAAAAAAAAACACTTTTAAAAAAGTACTGAAGGTGATAGTCCTCTTGAAGAGTCTAGTGTGTTATGCGAAGGAAGAGGTTTGCTAATGAAGACAGTTTTCTTTTTTTTCTCTTTTTAATTTGGATCAGCAAGTATTGAAATTATTTATTGTTAACATTGTAAAAATGATTAATTATGAGTTTTACCCTTTGAATAAATTTGTTTTACCCATTTTCAAAGTAAAAAAATCTACTTAGAGAGGGGTGGCCATTTGTAAGTAGAGGCAATTAGTTTTGATATGCCATGAAAGAAAATAGCCATATAATATTGAATTGTACCTTTTTCACTTTTAGATATTTTTCATAATAAAAAAAAAAATTTCCAAATAAAAAAAAAATTTCCAACAAATTTATATCATAAAAATGCCTACAGAAAATTCAAAATCATAGAAAATTATGTCCACACAGTATGCATTTTCCCCTTATTGGCTTCTATACATGGATATTTCCCCCCTTCCTATTTCTTTAAAAAAAAGCATCTGTTTTGCAAAATTGATTACAACATAAAAAATTGTACTTTAATGTGTATCGTGCACATGTGTTTTCCTTTAATAGACAGAAGCATAAGGCAGGGCCGGCAAAATCAATTGTCCGTATTGCCCAGGTTGTCCGACAGCCTGTACGGACAAGTGAAAATTTTCAAGAATTAACTATGTCAATATCATACGGACAAGTTAAAAAATGCTTCACATAAAAACGGACAAGTAAGTCAAAATCAGATTTTGCCGGCCCTGCATAAGGCCTATCATGTGGAACAGAAATTGATTGCTTTATTTATAAAATTGCGCTTACAACAAATATTTTTGGAAAAATATTTAATTCTTTATGCTTAAACTAAAAATACTTATTTTGGAATCTTTACTGCATCTTGATGTGAGAAAAACAATGAACAAAACTTTGAAAATAAAATAGTTTGAAAGTGGGTAAAAGTTTTGAAAAATAATGTAACTGAATATCAAATTAATTTGATTTGTCAAGATAATTTTCTTGCAACTAACAGTTTGAACATTGAAATGTTTATGCTAAACTTTACAATAGTACTTATTTATTACTTTACAAGTGATTTGAGGCATGATTTGTTTGTTAGCAAGGTGTTGAAATGTTTTGTTTCAGACGAACCAGAATCAAAGAGGAGCCCTTTCTTGCAGGACCGTATGTGTTTTACATGCTATAACCTACACTTTGGGACCCTTTTAATGGGGGTCACGCTGCGCAATTAACATTGATTGTTATTTTCACTTGTTAGGTCAAGGGGAAGGAACTATTAATATTATCATATAATTTCTTCATGTGTTTTATGTTGAACAAGTATTACTTGAATGTGTTTTTCATTTGAATGATAGCTGTTGATAATCAGTAATCTTGTAATACTTAGATGAATGTTGCTTTATTAAGCTATGCAAATAAATTAGGATGTCTATAGATTTGATATTAAACTTTGTGTCAGGCAGTTTAAGTGGGCGGTGCGGGGGAGGGGGGGGGGCGGGTTAGCACAAAGTATTTGTAAAAATAATTTGATCAACAGATATGAAATTTATGGATACCAAAGCAGTCTTTGTACTTGATGAATAAGCAAAATAAGCTTCTAATAATTAGCGTTGAAGATTTGCTTTAAATTTAAATAAAAACAGACAAAATTTTTTTGCCCTGGATTAAATAAAAATTAAAAAAGGAGCATAATTATGTGGTAGATGCAACAATGCAAGAACATATTAATTTTAACAAGAAGAAATTTATTTTAACAATTCACAACTTATCATTTTCTAATTGGTTGCTCGATATAATTAATATGAAAGTTTTGTTTCTGCTTTGAGCATTACGCTAAGATTTTAATTGCAATTTGAGTGACATTAATGTTTTGACATAAAGGGGTACTTGAAATTATGATTTGGGTTCTACGGGATTCTACAGGTCTATGTTCATGAAGAAAAAAAAACTAACCCAACAAAAACTTCTGGAGATTTATACCAAGTTCACTGTGTGAAATTTTTTCATTGTCGATTAAAGAAAAGAACAACTTTTTATATTAATTAATTTTATAGAATAAATTTCATTGAAAAACAAAAAGTTTCAGATTTACTGTAAAACTGAGATATAGGCTTACAGATAATGTCTCAAATAAATAAATTTAAAGGTACTTTAATAATTGACATAACTGAAATTGGTATCAATGGAAAGTAGATTTTGATCATAATTCTGTTAGTGATGAAAAAACAAAAAAAAATGGAGATGAAATAGGGATGTTTACAGATGGATAGATCTTCAGAAGTTTTTTTGTTTTTTTTTTTGCAATAAAGTTTTCAAGTTTATAAAGGAATACCAACAATCTGCTTTTGATAGAGCTATGTGTCATCCTATACTCTTTTTCAGAGGAGAAAATTATACCGGGCCATGTTCTGACCTTTTTATTTCATGTCATTATCTCATTCATAATGTTGTCAACATACATTGGGATTTTTCCAGCTCAAAATTTTTATATGAAAATGTGTAGATGTACAGTATTGTTTATCACTATATTCCAAATTTATTAACATGCTTTTTAGATGAGAAGTTGTAATTTCGTTAATTTCTCACATTAATAACACATATATGCATGCCTATGGGAGTGAAAAATCCCAATTTTGTTCCGATAGTTTTTAATTTGATTTTGATAAACTGTAATGCCTAATTTGATTTTTGATAAACTGTAATGCCTATATTTTGATTGTACATGTTTTGACGATATATATTTTGCTTATGTCACATGTATATATTTACAATAATGTACTATTTTCATATCGGTGCATACACTCGTGTATGTCGGTCAGATGTTATTTTGATGTGACAATTTTATAATTTTCTCCTCTGTTTTTGTTTAGTTTTCTTTTTAATATTCAAACCCCAGTTTCTTGTTTCTGACATCCTCTGTTTAGATTTATTTCGTAGTGTCAATGTTCTTTAACCGACACCATAGTTACATAATGATATTCAATAATTCTGAACTTCGACAAGAAACCAAACCAATTAAGGGTTTAATTTAGGCTTTAAGATATCAAGCACTGCTTCAATTGTAACTGTTCTTGCACTGATCTGAAAGTATGTCTTATTGTTGTAAATATAGAAATGTTATTTATGAATATTGTCTCATAAAAGTAGACTCCATTGAATTACTGATCGGTTTAGTCTTAGATTTTTTGCAGTGCAAGTCTCCTAGGAAACGGAAAAGAAACAGATTTTCAGTTTTGAAAACTTTCAATTTATGACGTTTAAATGTTTGGATTTATCTAACATGAAACACATTGCAACTATATCAGTTATGTTTATCTACATTTTTAATGTACATGAATTTCACCTAGATAAAAGATTTAAGTCCATTGATTGAATGTAACACATGTTCCTTGTACTGCTGATGTCAATTGTATGTTTAGGGTTGTGATTTGCTATTTTTGTGTGTGATTTCAGCCGCAGGAGGATATCCAGGACTAAATCAACCAAGGTATGTATTTAGCTTTATTTATGACTCGTAACAGTTCTATTTTAATCACATTGTCATGTTAAGTAGGTGTTCTTAAGTTACAGTATTTAACCTTAAATTTATAGCTGTGCATCTAGAAGTTACCAAACACATGTTTGTTAAGATAATCCTAAATGTGTTGACCCCAAAGCATGTTCATTCCAGCCCATCCCTAATTGAAAAACATGCACACTGTTTTAACCTATTGGACAAATTTAACTGTCCTGATTTGTTTTTTTAAAAGAAGTAACTGGTTATATCAGGGCTGCCGATTTTCCGCGGAAATCCGCGGTTTTCGTGAGCTCCTGGGTCATTTTTGAGATCGATGTAAATTCGACAAAGACAATAAATTCATTCGTCATATTTTATACAGTACCCAAAAACCGGCACGTTTCGGCTTTTATCGTTACGCTAGCCGCCTATGGTACGTCTGTAAGCGCTTTTCTCATTGGTCATATCGAGTCTTTTCCGGCATTCTATTTTAGAATAACCAATCAAATTTTAGTTTACATTGTCGCTCTTGTCTGTTGTCAAAATGCGTCAAAATGTCGGATATTTGTCAAATTTAGAGTCCAGGAAATTTGATTTTAGGGCATACCAAATCATCAGAATCCAGGAGCTTTAGGGGGTTTCGCCCCCTGAACCCCCACCAGGGCTCTGCCCTGGACCTGCAAAGGGGGCTTGTGCAGCCCCCTTGACCCCCGGCATATTTTCCGCTGATTTTGAAATTTGCTGTTGGCAGCCCTGTTATATGGTCATACATGTTAGTCAAACTAGTCATATTTATTTTTAGATTATTTTTTTGGAACAGGTGTCACTAATCTAAGCTTTGGTCATTTACAAAATAACTGAGGAAAGCTCTGAATTCAAGTCTTAGTAACAGTGTTAAATTGATTTGATTTGTCTGCTGTAATTGATAAAAAGAGTAAAATTAATAATTTTGTACACAGTAAACATTGAGCAGTTACTCTTAAAAGAAATATAATACTGCAGTTGAGTAAACAGCTTTTCAATATTGACGTAATGAATACAACATGTGCGTATTCCCATACTTATACCTACCTTTGTTAAAGTTAAATTAGTTTTGTAGTGTGAAAGGTGCATAATATTATTCAATTGAATAGCCCATACTTGTTTATATTTTAAGTTTAATTCTGAAAAAAGAAATTGATTTCTATTGATAATCTATTTATAAGGGTTATGTTTTTATTTTAGTCAGGTTTTTAAGGCTTGATAAATTTAATTTTCATTTTGTGAGTGTTCCTTTAAAAAAATAATTAAGGGGGTAGATTTGTGTAAAGCTGACAGTGAAATGAGTGAATGTATTAAAGGTAAGAAAAAAGAAAAATGACTAGCGTTATATTTAGACTATTTTGTATATGTCTCGTGTAGAAACACAGAAGCAGCCCAAGCAGCAGCTCAGGCCGCAGCAAGAATTAATCAACAACTAGGGGTCTCATCACCAAACAGCAGTATGATGCAACAACAGAATGATCAGATGAACCTCGGTGGTGGTATGGTCATCACAGAGGAGTATAAAGTACCAGACAGAATGGTCGGACTTAGTAAGTAAATGTATAGAATGTTCACAATGACATGCAAAACAGTATCTTGTGATGCAAGGGTAGTTGTTAAAATTTGTGAGATGAAATTTTTAGGAAAACTTAGCAGTAATACAATGATGAGAATTTAATGGATAAAAATCAAAAATATTGTAAAATAAAAACAATACCTAAGTAAGAGATTTAAGGAAGAATTGCATCTCTTTTTGGCACATGAATGTAGGCTTATTAGGTCATTCTTTGAAAGAATACAACCTCTGTTTGAATGGGATACATATTTCGATATTCAAGAGGAAATTGGCTCAGAAAGTCTTCCAATGTATGGTTACAGGGCCCTTTATTGTATCATTCAGTATTTTGTATAGTGAGCAGGGTTTCTATTGACGCACATTTCCTGCGTCCTTGACGCAAAAAAAGTAACCTAGGACCCTCAATTACTCTAAGTGTGCGTCCATGGGGACGCAAATTAAATTTTCCTCCGTAAATATTATTTGGAAATTCCTTCCCCTTCTTTAAATGAAATGACGTAATTTGGTAGACGGGTTCTAATATTGAACACAGCAGAGTTATCTTTCTTTCAATTAATTACAGTTTAATACGGAATAAAACGGCGCATACTAGAATTTAGTCGACCTTAAAAAAGCGTCCCAGTCTATGCGTTTTTTGTTATAAAATACATCGTAAAACATGTCGGCTGCTCCCCAAATTTTAATGAAAAGTGGCTAAGTTAACTTACCCGTGGCTCGTCCAAAACGAGACGACCACAGATATGAAATGCAGCCATTGCGTCTCAACTAAAAAATGTAATCCATTTGCCTCGGAAAATGGATGTTTGAACTTCCAAAATAGTAGATACATTTGTCCGTCATCAAGACGTATATGCAGTTTAACAATTGATAAAATTAGTCGGACCAGATGTGAAAGATCTCGACTTTATGCAAGTTGCACAAACATTCAGCCAAATGAAAGAAATGAAAAAGTAACAATAAATAATAAATGGTTTATATTTTTTATTTTATTTAACAAGGTCAATAAAAATGCATATGTAGTTGAACAATGTATATAAATGTAAAGAATTAAACCTAGACAATATATATAAGTTATACCTTACTTTGGGGTAATAAATGATTAGGACCCTCATATTTTTCTCTGGGACCCTCATATTTTATGAGCACGAGTCCCTGGGACTCTTAAATAAGAATTCCTAGTAGAAACCCTGGTGAGCACACTCGGACACTTGATATAATTCAGTGAATTGTTCAAGTCTAGCAGTATGCATAGTAAACATACAGTTTGATAAAGATTGCAGACTGTTTAGTTGTTTATCTTGCTAAACTGGAACATTTTGGAAGACAAACTATTTGGTTTTGGATGGTTTCCTCATAAATGTTACTGTAAAATTTTGGAAAATACTGAGAAAACCTGTCTTAAGTTTTTGTCAATTAAGAGGACATAATGGCACTTTCGGAGGCTTTGCAGTTCTGTGAACTGTATATAAGTTCAGCATTGTGCAAAATTAACTTTCAGTTTGAGAAAGATACCTAACTCATCTAGTTTGTGTCTTGTTAAACTGTATACATAACAAATTGTATGGAATGTTTTGAAGATTGGGTCTAATTAAGAGGACATGATGGCACTTTCGGAGGCTTTGCAGTTCTGTGAACTGTATATAAGTTCAGCATTGTGCAAGATTAACTTTCAGTTTGAGAAAGATACCTAACTCATCTAGTTTGTGTCTTGTTAAACTGTATACATAACAAATTTTACAGAATGTTTTGAAAATTGGGTCTTTAGTTTTACCGACTCAGTGGTCGAGGGGTTAGAGTCAATGACTTTTAATCCAGTTACCTCTCTGGCGTGGGTTTGATCCCCGGGAATTGCTTTGGTAGTTTAGCACGGAGGAAGGTAGTCTAGTACTAGTGTAACTCTCCAGGAACGATGGTTAGGAAACTACCCGCCTACATGACTGAAATACTGTTGGGAAAAGGCGTAAAATGAAACAAACAAACAAACTTTAGTTTTATGTCAATTAAGAGGAAATAATGGCACTTTCGGAGGCTTTGCAGTTCTGTGAACTGTATAGAAGTTCAGCATTGTGCAAGATTAAATTTCAGTTTGAGAAAGATACCGTGCTCATTTTGTTTGTGTCTTGTTAAACTGTATACATAACAAGTTTTACGGAATGTTTTGAAGATTGGCATGATTTGGTTTATTCAGGAGAAAGTAATGCTTAGTTTTGTAAAATATGTATGCAGCACTCTTGGAGGCTAAGCTGTTCTTTTGGCTGTTTTGGTCTAGCATTGTGCAATATTAACAGACAATTTGTCTTAGTTCGTAAAAGAAAGACTTCTTATTTTGGCAGTTTTAAGTTGTATATTTAAACTCGACATTGAGCAGATAAAGGATTTTAAAGGTTGCGTCTGAATTTGGGCTACAAGATTTTATATATACAAAGAAAGCTTTATAAATTTAACATACTTGTCATAGGCAAAAATAAAGATACATGTTGAGTAGAGTTCATTTTGGAGACATATTGAAATGAACTGTTTACAGCAGAAAAAGACCTGTCTTTGTATTTCTTGCTATGATAAAGTTTCACAGCCTATTTTAAGTTTTACTTCATGGATTTATATCATATGAACATTATCCTTTAAACATGACTATCTTTTATGACAAAGAATTAGTAAAGTAAGAGAATAAGTAAAGTGTTTAGAATGTTTATATGTTGCATTTTAACTAAGTTTGTAAAAAAAACATTTTCTCTTATTTTCAGTTATTGGTAAAGGTGGTGAACAAATCACAAGGTTGCAAGCAGAGACCAGTTGTAAAATACAGATTGCACCAGGTAGTCATTTATAGCCAAGTTTTTCTATTACAATTCTCTATACACAAGTATAAAGTGGATTTAACCACTATACATAGTTCAGTAGTATTTTGGTCAGAAAAAATAAGGGCATTCTGCTCCGAGTTACTGCATAAATTTCCAGATGCAGAAGTCCTGTAGGGAAAAGTATGATTTCAGGCCATTTCCATCTACTAATGCATGCATCCCAAGGAATAAAAAATATTGTAGGCTGTTAAGCTCATTATAATTTATTTCAAACATTTCTGTCAAATTTTGTTTGAATTTGATAAAAACTAAATGTCTTTACAAAAAAGGGTCAATTTAAGGTGTATTTTGTTATGAGAAGACAACTCTGTGTGATGGTTGGGCTTGGGTTTTTGTTTTTGTTTTTTATTTGCTGATTTAAGCCATACAGAGTTTTTTTTAAGCAAATTATCATGCTTTTGATGATGCTCCAACAATATTACAAAGCAGGGTGTAAAGAAATTATCTTCAAAATTCTTGTTAGAAACCTATTCCTTGGGCTTAAAGAAAGTACACATGTCGATTTTTTTGGACAATTTTGTTTTTCCTTTGTTCACATTTGTTTTTAATATTATCAAATTATTTTATGAATGTCTTCATTCTATTAAGTTACTTTTGTTTGGCTTGAATCAGAATTTATACATCATAGATTTATTTGTTCATTTTTTGTGTTTGTTTATACATGTGTATAATTGATATTTCAGAATGTGACGGCTATGGTATGTTGAGTTTATAACAATCCTAACATGTGCAGATATTTGAAGCTGCACACAAGATATTGGTCATTGTTTTGGTCCGTCACACTTTGAAATTACTAGTTCACATTTGGGGTGAAATATTGTCGGAAAATGGGGGCTTTGTATTCTATGACTGTATAAACTCCAAAATTTTACCAGTTTCCAATAATAATTATATTTTATAATATTTCTGACTAATGGGAAAATAAGTAAGAGAAATTTTAGGCCTCTTTCCATCACTTGATGATCTGAATACCTTCTGCAAGACTAAATACGAGAAAGCTCTACAGCAGAAAAAAAAACGCCAAAAAAAACCCCAACAAAAACACTCTTTCTCAACAGATGATTTTATTTGGCCATTTTAAAATTCGTAATTAGAACAAAGTGCTGTTTATCTTTAACACCTAAGTATCAAAAATATATATTTATATCTTTGATGGAAATAAAACAAACATCACCCCAATTAAGTGAACAGGTATTGCAGGTGGGAAGGTTTAAGTGCAACATCGACACACAAAGTTTGTCTCCTAGAAAAAAAAAGAAAAGAAAAAAATATATAAATTTAAACTATCACTGCTCTTAAATTGACCCTTAATACTGAAAATTATGTAGGCAAAACATTATTTTGCAATTTTATCTTTGTAGAATCTTATTTATTAGCTTTATAAGCTTTGTTACAATGCCTGTTGCAATTTTGATTAGGATATTTCGCAGTGCTCTGGGTTTTTGACTTTTCTGAAGATGTTCAATTAGTTCCTAAGCATTATGTTGAAATTTTTGTTACAGACAGCAACGGTATGCCTGAAAGATCAACAACTTTAACAGGATCCCCACAAGCTATTGGGTGAGTAATTTGATATTTTTGCCTTACTTTGAGCCATGTCTTTCGCTCTAAATCTTGTGTTGCAGTATTTAAAGTGTTGCCCCCACATAAGGATTTTTATACAGTACAGTTAGTAATAGAAAGAGCATGGAAACAGGAGGATATCTGATTTGAACAAGAAGATAAATCGGACTGTCGATTGTTTTGATGTTTTTCTCTTTTTGTTTCACAAACAAAATTAAAAAACACAATCCCTGTCATCACATTATGAATTACCACTTAATAGACTTTTCTATTGTTACCACTTTCCCTGTACCCCCCACACCCAAAAAAAAACCAAAAAACAATAATGAGCCAATCAACGAGCATGCTGTGGAGTGCAGACAATTAATACCTACACTCCAATTAATGCACTGTGCATGTGTAGGTATATGATTTTAACTCTGAAACATTTTTAAAAGAAAGGTTTCCAAACTAAGATACAAAAAAAACTTATTGCTGGATTACAAAAGCTATTGCACTTTCCTAAAAATTTAGCAAACTATTTAAAAAGCTGTAACTCCAGTATATTCACAAGTGTAAATGCCCTTTAAAATTTAATTTTGCTTTAATACATAAAAAACTCTTTTTCCATGATCTGCCTTGATAGTAATGCTATTTTATTATAAATTTGCAGTAAAGTGAAAGATGAAATAAACAAGATCATTCAGAGGGCGCAAGGAGACCAGGGAGGATTTGGTGATAATTCAGGGAACATCGAGATCTCCATACCTGGAAACAAAGTTGGTCTCATTATTGGTAAAGGTGGAGAGACTATTAAACAATTACAGGTTAGTTGAAATTTCGAAATGCTGATGGTCTTGATGTTTAGCCTATTGTATATAAATAAAAGCTTATGCTTGCTGATGATTAATTCGATACTGAAACTCTGTTAAGTAATAATGGACATTCTAAATTCACAAAAGATATGTTCTGCTCATCTTTTGGTACTAGACTTTTATTGCAGAAATTTATTGAAATTATTAAAGTAATTAATTATTTACTCAAAATACATTAAAACTATTTAAATGGTCAGAAAAATGAAACTTTCTGTAACTGAGTATGAAGATCTAATGCAAGATTTCTCAATATGAAACACTGTCTGCCAGAAATAGAATTATTACAGCTGTTTCTTTGATAAATTTTGTCAATTTCTTCATGCTTTTTGAACGCCTCTGTGGTCGAGGGGTTAGAGTCGATGACTTCTAATCCAGTTACCTCTCTGGTGTAGGTTCGATCCCCGGGAGATGCTTTGGTAGTTTAGCGCGGAGGAAGGTAGTCTAGTACTGGTGTAACTCTCCAGGAACGATGGTTAGGAAACTACCCGCCTATATGACAGAAATACTGTTCGGAAAAGGCCTAAAATGAAACAAACAAACAAATCATGCATTTTGTCATTATCACATTGATATTGATGTATTATAGGAGAAAACAGGAGTTAAAATGGTGATGATCCAGGACAGTAACGTCCCAACAGCGTTTGATAAACCTTTGAGAATTACCGGTGACCAGATGAAATGTCAGAGGGCAAAAGAAATGGTTATGGAGTTGTTGGCCTCTAAAGACAATGACATGGTAGGATTTGATATGGTATGGATGATTGATTTCAAGCTCTATGTTTTTGTTATACCTTTGCACTAATGGGATCCAGAATTCCCCAGCTGGCCTTTAACCACATGACAAGAGACAAGTGTTGGGTAAAAACACAATGTTTTTGTTGATATGGCTCATCATAATTCTATAAAACTTTTGCTTTTTTTTTTTAAAAGAAAAAATATTAAATACAGCTTGAGTGTTGAAACAGTAACTTGTTTTATGTTGCCATTTTCACTGCTTGATCTGAAGTTCTTTAGTTGATGTTGCAATAAAGAAACTAATTCCAACTAATACAATGTCATTTCAGACAGGAAAAAGTCATTGCTTTTAATGGAAAGTGATTGCTTTCTAATCTTATAACTTAAATATTATTTTGTTCCCTTTGCATGCCAGTTTGTTGATGCATGATTTAAAAATACTCTTGTGTCTTTTTTTGATTCATTAATGAGTGCACATGAAAACTTTTCTCGAAAGACTTCTTATCATTGTTCCAGTAATTCCAGGTTAAATAAAACATGCATGTTAATGACGAAGCCTGTATGCATAAAAAATTCAGTATACTTTTGTATGAAGTTTTTGTATTTCTTGTTAACTTTCATTTTGTATTTACAGGGTGGTGGCTTTCCTAATGGTGGTGGTATGGGAGGATTTGGTGGTGGTGGTGGTAGAGGAGGTGGGCTGGACATCCCTGTACCTCGTGCAGCTGTTGGTATAGTTATTGGTAAAGGTGGAGAGATGATTAAGAAGATACAGCAAGACACAGGTGCAAAGGTTCAGTTTAAGCAAGATGATGGTCAGTCAGAGGATAGAGTGTGTTGTATCACAGGTCCACCTGACAAGGTCAATTGTGCTCAGGAAATGATCCAAGATCTTCTAAATAACTCAAATGTAAGTTTGAAGCTTTTTATTGAATGGTCCACGATAACTTCAATACTCTTGGATTTGAAGTTATCTGGACTAGAAAATTTCGATTTCTTATGGGACCGGAGTATTAGCTATTTTATCGATCATGTCCAATGATTGGACACAATTTACAAAGTCTGACCTTCATAACATTTAAAAAAAAAGTTCACTGTTTGGTTTTTAAGGTTTTATTGAATTATATGTCCCTATATCTTTCTGAGTAAATAATATCTTGAAGCTAGTTTTCTGGCTTGTAATAAATGAAGTTGCTGGGGTAAAACATTATTTTCATTCAGTGTTATTGTTTGAAGAAAAAAAAAATGAGCATTTTTTTGCAAAACTTAAGGAGTTACAATGTTTGAAGTTAAGTGAAATTATTTCGGAAGCATATATTAAGAGCCAAGGTATCTTCTCTATAAGAACTTTGGTGTCATAAATGTGCGATATAAAGTCGGGGATTCGCTAACACCATTCTGTTGTGGATGGAGTTTGATAGTAGACCCTGAAACATTAACTGATATCATATAATTTTTGCTGATGTAGATTAAGAGAAGTTTTTTTGTGTGTTTGCATATTTTTATAAAGAGATACATAAGTTTATATTGGGTTTAGTTGATGCTCAGGAAATGATCCAAAATCTTCTAAATAACTCAAATGTAAGTTTTAAGCTTTTATTGAATGGTCCATGATAACTTTAATGCTCTTGGATTTGAAGTTATCTGGACTTTTCTTACTGGACCAATACCATTTTTGTTGAACATGTCCAATGGTCAGACACATTTCAAAAAGTCTGACCTTCATAACTAATTGAAAGTTCACTGTTAGAATGTTAAGTTTTTATTGAATTATATGTACCTATATATGAGCCGCGTCATGACAAAACCAACATAATGCGCTTGCAACCAGCATGGATCCAGACCAGCCTGTGCATTCGCGCAGTCTGATCAGGATCCATGCTGTTCGCTATCAGTTTCTTTACTTGTTATACCGTTTGTAAGTGAACAACATGGATCCTGATCAGACTGCGCAGATGCGCAGGCTGGTCTGTATTCATGCTGTTCGCAAATGCATTACGTTGGTTTTGTCGTGACCCGGCTCATATATATTTTGAGTAGAAAATCTGGAAGCTTATAATGAAGTTGCTGGGGTAGAACATTATTTTTATTCAGTGTTTTTGTTTGAAGAAAAAAAAAAAGAGCATTTTTTTGCAAAACTTAAGGAGTTACAATGTTTGAAGTTAAGTGAAATTATTTTGGAAGCATATATTAAGAGCCAAGGTATCTTCTCTATAAGAACTTTGGTGTCATAAATGTGCGATATAAAGTCAGGGATTCGCTAACACCATTCTGTTGTGGGTGGAGTTTGATAGTAGACCCTGAAACATTAACTGATATCATATAATTTTTGCTGATGTAGATTAAGAGAAGTTTGGTTTGTAATTTACTTTTCTGTTTGCATATTTTTATAAAGAGATACATAAGTTTATATTAGGTTTAGTTGATGGCAGGGTCAGTAATTTTTCTAGAAAATAACTACTATCATGCTTTTGCTCAAAAGCATATTGATTTCCTCCATCCTCCCTGTAAAAGAGGGAAAAGATATAGGCAGAACTTGCTAGCTTTGAAGAAAAATGCCACCTGCCTTTCATATCATTCATGTGTTTAGTGTATTTAAGGGTATTTGATTAGTCATATTGATCTTTAAGTAGTTTCAGTTGACCTTTTAAACAAGTTTTCTTCAACTAGAGGGGGTAATTTTTAACTTTTGTTTTAATCGGCTGCATGTTCTATTCTTTTGGGGTGGTTACAAGAAGTTAGAAACTGTGATTGAAATAGGAATTTTTTAAAAGCATATATTAAGAGCCAGTTTTTCTTTATATAAGACTACTGGTGTCATAAATGTGCGATATAAAGTCAGGGATTCGCTAACACCATTCTATTGTGGGTGGAGTTTGATAGTAGACCTTGAAACATCAAAAGTTAAATCTTGAAAATAACTATTGAATGATAATAAACTGGAGCGTTCAACAGGTAAATGATTTTAAATTGCAGTATGGTGGAGGTATGGGTCGTGGAGGTCCTGGATTCCGAGGTGGCCGTGGTGGAGGCAGAGGAGGATTCAACCAGGGACCAGGTCGTGGCATGGGTGGACCAGGCGGGTTTGATGGTGGAAACTTCCAAGATCAGACAACGTTTGCTGTACCAGCTGACAAGTGTGGATTAGTCATTGGAAAAGGTATGAAAATGAGTTTATTAAAAGTAATATATGAAACTTTTCCATTACATAATAATTGTAAGCATTTCATTTATAGAATATCAGAAATTCTTTATTTAGGTAGGGTATCTAATAACTATCTATATTTTTGTGCCCCCACGTTAGTGGCGGGCATTTAGATTTACCCTTGTCCGTCCGTCCGTCCGTCCTTCCGTCCGTCCGTCCGTCCGTCCGTCCGTTCACTTTTGTGTCGCACGTAACTCAAAAAGTATTTGACCTAGAGTCATGAAACTTTACAGGAATGTTGATCAGCATGTGTAGTTGTGCACCTGGGTATTTTCGTTTGGATATTTTTAGTATTTTCAGAGTTATTGCCCTTGACTTAGTAAAAATTTTGCAATTTTCAACTTGTGTCGCATTGTAACTCAAAAAGTATTTGACCTAGAGTCATGAAACTTTTACAGGAATGTTGTGATAAGCATGTGTAGTTGTGCACCTGGGTATTTTCGTGTGGATATATTTAGTATTTTTGGAGTTATTGCCCTTGACTTAGTAAAATTTTGCAATTTTCAACTTGTGTCGCACGTAACTCAAAAAAGTATTAGACCTAGAGTCATTGAAACTTTACAGGAATGTTGATCAGCATATGTAGTTGTGCACCTGGGTATTTTCGTGTGGATATTTTTAGTAATTTTTGGAGTTATTGCCCTTGACTTAGTAAAATCTTGCAATTTTTCAACATGTGTCGCACGTAACTCAAAAAGTATTTGACCTAGAGTCATGTAACTTTACAGGAATATTGATCAGCATGTGCAGTTGTGCACCAGGTATTTTTGTCTGGATTTATTATTAGTATTTTTAGAGTTATTGCCCTTCACTTAGAAAATTTTTGCAATTTTCAACTTTGTGTCGCAAGTTTACTCAAAAAGGATTTGACATAGTCATTAAACCTTATGGGCAGGTTGCTCAGCATATTTAGAGTTGCACCTGGGGTTTCGCTTGTGGATTTATCCAGTATTTGTAGAGTTATTTCCCTTGACTTAGTAAAAAGATTGACAGAACAGTGGCGCGGTGGGGGCACCCGTGTCCTATGGACACATTTCTAGTTAAGAAATGATATTGTTCATGTATGAATGATATAAAAACAAAACAAGGGACAGTGGTGTTAAAATGAAAGAATGTCTGTAGGAAAGGGAAAAAAAAGACGTAACTTGTGGGTAAACCATTTGTATGTAATTTTGTTGGAGTTGTGTGTACACAAACAATTATGATTGGATAAAGGTGATACAGGTTTTAGTAAATACCCAGTTAATTGTCATGATACTGTTTCATATTTCTTATATGTCATAATTCTTTCAACAGGTGGTGAAACCATAAAGAATATCAACAGTTCATCAGGTGCCCATGTAGAGTTACAGAGACATCCTGGCCCGAACCCTAATGAGAAGGTGTTTAACATCCGTGGTGAGCCAAGCCAGATCCAGCATGCTATACAAATGATCTGTGAAAAAGCAGGCCTTCCTTATGTAAGTGTCTTTAACATTTTTTGTTTCGAGGTTCATTAAAAAGAGTTTTATGACGCTTAAGTTATGTCTCGCGTCACACTTTACACCCAAAGTCATGAGAAAGTTTTCATAAATATACATTGATGGTCTTTTCCTGTAAAAAAATCTCATTCCTAAATATATTTTAAAATAACTGCATAAATACGTTTGCTGCACATGAATCGAGTCTGTTTTTGTTTAAAAAAGGGAAAAAAATCATATAAAGGGTAAAAATCTTACCAATATTTGAAATTGTTTTATTTATCAGGATGGTCCCAGTGGAGACATGTTTCCAGGCCCAGGTGGTCCTGGGGGTCCAGGTGGCCCCGGGGGTCCCGGAGGACCTCCTCAGGGTGGACCCGGTGGCCCGTATGGTGGCCCAGGTCCACAGGGACCAGGTGGGTTTGAACAGTATGGAGGTCCACAGGGAGGTCCAGGGTAAGTGTAACAATATTTTTGTCATGAAGGTTTTAAAATTTAATTATAACAATTGTATTCAAGGTGTCACTACAGGGAGGTCTTGTGTTTAATTCAACTATATTTAATATTGACCTAGGATAATAGTCATTTTTTAAGAGAGTGTAATAGCATAAGTATCTCACTTTCAAAACTGTTTATATGTGATTGCACTTTGTTAAAAAAAATAGAATTATGGTTGAGGGACAGAAATATTAGCTAGGACAAATACTAAGTAGTATTATTTGAATTCTTAAAAATCAAGTGTATATTGTTTTGCTAAATAAAATGTCTTGTTTAAGAATTTGAAATGAAATAAAAAAAAATGTACTAAAATGTTGTTAAAGCACATATTAGAGCCTGCATTTCTACTTTTGAACTGTAGGTGTCGAAATGATGCAATAGTAAATCAAGATGCCTGCGTTTTAAATCGCCACCTTGTGTAGTGACTGCAGATAATCTTGATACAGTAGACAGGGGTGTGGAAATATGAATTATTGCCACGTGGCCACAGAAGAGTTGGGCAGAAATTTTTACTTGTCTGCAGCTTAACTGTACTTGCCCATATAAAAATACAGAACATTGGCCATATATTTAAACAAAAGTTAATAAGAGGTAGCAGTGTCCTTTCATAGTAAGGTGTAAACAGTTTTTCTGAGTAAAGACCAGACACCATTTCTATAGTTTGAGGAAACAATCTACAAATCTTATAAGGCAATGCATGATGTCCAAACTATCATCCTTCTGGAGCTTATTTAATCTGAACATAAATTTGAACATTGATCATTTTCCTTTTGTTGCTATTAATGTGAACATTTCTCTGTTGAGAGACTCTCTCATTCTTTTGGTTGTCACATAGCTAAGAAAAGCCAGCTCTAATAACACAATGTATGCAATTGTAAAAATTTGAACCAAAACAACTTTACAATTGTTACCAAATGAGCATGTTAAAATTTACTTTAAAGAGTGGTTGCCTCCATGTGGCCTACATGTATCAAGGAGCTTGCTTTCCTACAAAAGTTCTCCCATGGGTTGAAATGATTGATATGAAAAAGTGTATTTTCTCATAGTTAACCATGAATCATAACTTAACTTACTACAATAAGTGCTCCCCATTGATAAGAAACAAAAATACTGTATTTTACATTATTCTGTTTTTTCTACTGGCTCAAATTTTCACCTGTTTAAGGACAAGTTCTATTGAAAAAATCTACTTGTCCGCAGGCATTATGTCCCGAGTCGGACAAGTCAGGCATAGGATTTCCACACCCCTGGTGACATGTTTAAAAGAGATAGTTTGAATAATAGATGTTGTAATATAAAAATGTAGTCTCTTGCAAAGAAGTCTGGAGGAAATTTACAGCAAATGAGATTATTTTTTACAGTATGTTATTTTTCTCTTTCTTACCTTTAGACCAAACCAACCTGGGTTTGGAGGAGCACATATTAGAGCCTGCATTTCTACTTTTGAACTGTAGGTGTCGAAATGATGCTATAGTAAATCAAGATGCCTGCGTTTTAAATCGCCACCTTCTGTAGTGACTGCAGATAATCTTGATACAGTAGTCAGGGGTGTGGAAATATAAATTATTGCCACTTGCCCACGGACAAGTTGGGCAGAAATTTTTACTTGTCCGCAGCTTAACTGTACTTGCCCATATAAAAATACAGAACATTGGCCATATATATTTAAACAAAAGTTAATAAGAGGTAGCAGTGTCCTTTCATAGTAAGGTATAAACAGTTTTGCTGAGTAAAGACCAGACATCATTTCTATAATTGAGGAAACAATCTACAAATCTTATAAGGCAATGCATGATGTCCAAACTATCATCCTTTTGGAGCTTATTAAATCTGAACATAAATTTAAACATTGATCATTTTCCTTTTGTTACTATTAATGTGAACATTTCTCTGTTGAGAGACTCTCTCATTCTTTTGGTTGTCACATAGCTAAGAAAAGCCAGCTCTAATAACACAATGTATGCAATTGTAAAAATTTGAACCAAAACAATTTTACAATTGTTACCAAATGAGCATGTTAAAATTTACTTTGAAGAGTGGTTGCCTCCATGTGGCCTACATGTATCAAGGAGCTTGCCTCCCTACAAAAGTTCTCCAATGGGTTGAAATGATTGATATGAAAAAGTGTATTTTCTTATAGTTAACCAAGAATCATAACTTACTAAAATAAGTGCTCCCCATTGATAAGAAACAAAAATACTGTATTTACATTATTCTGTTTTTTCTACTGGCTCAAATTTTCACCTGTTTAAGGACAAGTTCTATGGAAAAAATCTACTTGTCCGCAGGCATTATGTCCCGAGTTGGACAAGTCGGGCATAGGATTTCCACACCCCTGGTAGACATGTTTAAAGAAAAAAATTGAATTATAGATGTAATATAAAAATGTAGTCTTACAAAGAAGTCTGGAGGAAATTTACAGCAAATGAGATTATTTTTTACAGTATGTTATTTTTCTCTTTCTTACCTTTAGACCAAACCAACCTGGGTTTGGAGGAGCACCACAAGGATGGGGAGCTCAGCCTGGTTATAATCAACAGTTCCCAGGTCAAGGTCAACAGCCAGGAGCCCCAGCAGGTGGTGACCCTAGTAAGTTACATCTTGATCTTTGAACTTAGATAGTGATTTATATGTAAATTCATTTGTGAATAGCTTTCATTGCATGACATTGTACCTTTTTGGCTATTGCCATTTAATGCGTTTATAAATGCTAATGTACGCAAAAGGACTGTAGTCTTGAAAAAAAAAAGAGTGTGTAACTTTTCCTGTCTCGCAGGGGATTGAACAGTTGTATTCAGATTCGGTAAAACATTACCGTCTTTGTATAGTAAGTTTCTCATTAAATGTATTTTTTAATTTTTTTTGGTGTAGATAAACCACAGGACCCTAATGCTGCAGCTTGGGCTGCCTATTATGCCCAGTACTACGCTCAGTACGGACAGCAGGGACAACAGTATGGCCAGCAACCACAGCAGCCACAACAACCCATGCCCCAGTCACAACAGCAACCAAGTATGTTCGAACTTTCCTACCAGACTTGTTTATTTCTTTAATTTGTTCCCCTTGTTGCTGAGGGGTTGCCTTTAAGGGTTAAAGGCATCAGAATTGCCGACACTGTTCATCCCTGCGTGATCTTAAAGAGGCGTCTAAATGTGCCTCTTCAACTCCAGCAGGTTAGGTGGTTTTGACCTTTGGTGTTGCTTAAAATTGTAACACAGAGGTTAGCCAAAATCATCTTTCCTGTTTTGGAGCCATATAATCTAAATTGTGTTGGTATGGTAACACCATTAAACCAAACAAAACGATCTTTAATTTGCGTAAATAAATTAATCTTTGCATGTGAAAAAGGATATATTGATGATGATACTAATTTAGCATTAAAAACTTAACTTTTATTAATGACATGTTGGATCTTAAAATTAGTAATTGGAAATCACTTTCCATGATCTTTTTGTTGACTTTACACTGAAATAAAGTGATTACTATATTTAAATGAACAGTTCAATTGTATCTTTTGTTATATATTGAGACCTTTGAAGTTCTTATGCTAAACTTTGCATCTTTTACAACACTTGCCCTTGTTTATTTAGGTATTAACCCACAGACAGGACAACCAGATTATTCCCAAGCTTGGGCGGAATATTACCGCCAACAAGGAATGTTTCAACAAGCCAATGCTATACTAGCCCAGCACCAGCAACAACAGGGTGGCGGCGGACAAACCCCAGGGGCACAACCTCCCCAACAGTAATCTGCAGTTTCAACCCTTTATGAAAATTGTTTCAGGGGAGAGGTAGGCTTGAAGAGTTATTGTTCATTGTCTCATGTTTTTCAGACAAACGGATTACAGGACGACTTCACTGAAGAGGAAGACTACAGGGGGATTGAAACATTGAAATTTTTTACATACCATTTTTGAACGTAATTATTATTATAAACATATTTTTGTTTTGCGAAATTTGAAACGAAAACTACTATTGTTTTTATATGCCATAAAATTGTCTATTTGCGATTCGTGTTACTATGTTGCTTTTTAATCGATGATCTTGCATTGTTCTTATTAATTACCTATGATTGAAATTGTCTTTTTTAAACTGAATTTGTGTTTTCATATTTTCATGCATAATGATAACGTTATATTTTGAAATGTCCATGCATATTTTACTGTGTAGATATGGTCTGAGAAGTTCCAAAGCCGAGATTCATCACTTGTTGACTTTATGATATTTATAAACGTTTATAGACTCTTGTTGCTATTCGTTTTTATTACCATAGATGCTGTAAAATAGAAAACAATTTATATGTTGACCGATTTGCATGATCATGATATTGATGTGTATTATAATTAAATTGAAACTTTGGTGCATACATTGAATATATAGGTTTTATTCCATTCGCCATGTTTATAATGTGCCCTCTTGTATCAGATGTGATTTCTGCATTATAAGTTTTCCGTTTCTGTGATACATTGAAGTGTGTATATATAAATATATATATCTATATATTATGAAAACACGATAAACATGTATTTTATTTGAAATCGCATAGACATTAACCTTATCTGAATGTACATTGAGAGTAGTGATTTAGTATGTTCTCTTTTATTAAAACGTTTTTTTATCATGATGAAAATTTTATGCTATTTTTTGAAATTGATCATTGTATTTAATGGTAAAGATATATAAATGTATATGATTCAATCCTCGTGGAGAATAGGTAAGTAGTTCAGGTAAATAAATTTTTCTTCTTTTTGTGTATGTTTATTAAATGCAATGTTGACAGTCATGTATCATATAACTCGTGCAAGATGGTGTCTCGAGAGAAATGCGTGAACGTCACAAAGCCATAATGGTTATGGTATTAGTTTTGAAGGTAAGTGATTTAGAGCATATTGGTCAGTAATCGGTGAACATAGCAAACTGGGATAGTGAATAATAGTTGCTCAAGCAGGTATAGTATACCTTTTAGTTTTTAACAAGTTGACAGATGTTGATTAAGAAATATCTAGTATTAAATGTGTTCTTAGGTTTGTTGTCCAATTAATAACAAAGTTATCAAGTCACCTCGTTAAAAGGTGATTTTTATATTTTTCATTACTATACTGTACTTATTCATATTAAAAGATAATTAAAATGTGTGTAGATTTAGAAAAGAAAATTTTCATTACAATAGTTACAAGCTTTATACCAGTGTTAGAATGTTTGTTGTTTTTTGTATTTTCTAACAGGACATGATGTTTTCATGAAGATTTTGCTGTTTTCAAGTATGTATTGTGACAATAAATAGTATGTCAAAACATTGATATCATCAAGTAATAAAACAAAAACCTTTGCTATTTTATCATCATATGTATATTGTGCTCATTTATATGGATTAGACAACAGAACTGATCCTGGCCCCAAGTAAACCCAGTTGATTATTAGTGTCAAGATCATAATGGCATGGAGTAGGGCAATCAAGTTCCAGAAATCTTTGTATAGTTATAGAAAAAATAAAGTTGTATCTCAAGTTTTCATTAAAATAGTTTTTTTTTATACCACTTTATAATGAATTTTTTATTTTTGTTCTTTAATCCTTGCCCATCCTAAAATATATATTTTTATCATCATACATTACATGCTTTGTAGTAGTTCACATTCCAACAGTATTGTTTTCTTTTTTTTGTTTTATTCCTTCACAAAATTTGCTACTCTTGAATTTTCTGACAGGAGTTGCAAGAATAAATGATTAACAAAATTGATGTGATGCAAATTTTGATAATTTAAAGGTCTTCATAGTAATACTGGTTACCTCATTTACTTGATAGCAATTTGCTATCATGTCAGCTGGCAACATCCTCAGAATGCCATTTGTATTTGTTTATGTAGAAATAGTATTGGTCATTCATTTCTGTATTGAATAATTATAATTGACGTATATTAAAAACTGTATTGTATAAATCTACATTAGATATTTTGGAATAACATTTTCACCATGTTGCAGAAATTTGATTAATTTTCATTTCATCATAATACGTTGTTGTTTTTTTTCTCCGTGTTTTCATTTCCATATAATGTTCAAGATTTAAATGGTCTTGATGTGTTTAAGATTAAAACGTATATTGGTTTGTGGTTAATATTTAATGAAAATACGTTATGTGGATCAAGAAAGAATTTTCCCCCAGAAGATGAAACGGGGGTTTTATTTTAAGAAATGTTACATATATATACTTGAAATTGTTAATCAGAGGTTCTGTGCCTGTAAATGGGGGGGAGTATATCTGAATCGTGTATTGTTGGACATAGTTCTTGTGTGATTTAACATTTATTTAGATATGAGATAGCTCTTGCATTTGCCGAGTGTTGGCTGTTAGTGAAGGGTGTAGATAGTGGTGGCCACATTCATACAGAATGTTATAATAAACAGGATACTGCATATTGTTCGCTATTGAATTGACATTTTATATCATCGAGTGATTTTGTTTGTTTTTTCAGTCACATATTGACACTTGTATTTTAATTCTTATTTTTTATTACTAATTGAAATATATATGTGTATCTTTAATGCTTCGACGTATTTGTTGCTGTTGTAACCGGGTGAGAACAATAATTATAACACCCTCTTATTTCACTGCTAGTTACATTAAGAAGGTCTTATTATTGTGTGCTGTTGTATATTAATAATCACAAGTTTTTACTTTATTTGCTAATGTTGGTTAGTTGAACATTTCTTGCATATTTTTTTCTCTCCTTTTTTGTCTGTGGGACCCTTTTTGTGTATTATGTATATATATATAAAAATGAAAAATTATGAATATGTTTCCTTATGCTCCATCATTGATCAATATTTATGCTCCGTAAGATTTTCATGGTTTTTACGATCTCGTGATTTTTTTTCATTGTTCAATTTTATTATAAATGCATTGCAATATGTAACAATATGATAACATTTTAAATTGATGAGATGAAAGCATTATTGTCAGCCATTCTTGTCGGGTTAATTTTTTTTTGTATTTAGTCGTAGATAGGAAATATTAACTTCGATGATTTATGTACGATAGTTTTCCGACGAAAAGACATTTCATTGTATTCTGTAAACTGTGCCATCTTTCTGTGTTTTTTTAATCGTATAAATTTGATTATTTTTTAAAATGTTTTCAAGAATGTTATTTTGACTTAAAGTATTGATGATCATACAATATTATGATGAATATTTTTATGTTTTTTTTCCTCTCCAAAGATTTAACATTGTGTTGTTCTATGAACAGCATGGTGTAATTTGCATTCTTTTGAAATTGAACTTTTTTTGTACTATTGTATGTATTATAGGAATTAAGAGAGATATTGTGTTGAATTTTATCGCATAGAGGACTATTGAATTTGTATATGCCAAGAAGCAGCTATTGAATTTTACTCCCCATTATTTTGATTATTGAAAATCTTTGTTTTAAAACATGTAAGATGTTGTGTACATGTATAATAATCATTGTTAAACTTGCAAAAAATCTGATGTTATTATGTCTTGAAAAATGTTCTTTGTGAATGTCCATTAGTATAGAAATGATGGCATCTTGTAATACTCCTGATATTTGCTTTGAATTGTACCAGAATTATCTTTAAAAAAATGAATAGGGCAGCAAATTATATTACATTTTCCCTTTTTTTCCTTTTTGAAATTTGTCTCTTATTTTATGTATGAAAATATTTTGAAATTATATATCTGCATAATGTTATATGATGACTTTGAAAAATGATTACAAATTTGCTATGTCCATTTTTACTGTACCATTATTAGTCATTCTCTATTTTTTATGTTTCTAATATTGTACATAAGAAAACACCAGTATAAAAACAATTGATATCAAATCAAAAAGATGTGTATGTTTTTGAAAAATGCCATAACAAGAATCTTTCTATTGACATTATTGCTATGATGTAGCTTTTTTGCAATGATAATAGGCCTGTTTTTATGATAATTGTTCACCTGTAGTTTACTTTAATTTGTATGATGTTTTTGCATATATTTTCTTTCCTGTGTAAATGTGTTGATTCTATGATAATTATTGATCACCATTTATTGTTTTTTTAATGACTTTAGATCTATTAATAATTGATAATTATAAATATAAACATTGAAACTTGTTATTATATTTAAATATTATTCTCTTTTTTTAACATCATGCTCATAGTGCTTCTGATAATTGCGTTAATTTAACAACATTCACTGTTGTCCTTATTATATAAATATAATTACCTCCCTTTTTTGCATAATTACCTCCCCTTTTTGCATTATCTACCTTAGTGTGTAGTGAAGCTGTATATTTTAAATACGACATTTCACTGAGAGTATTAAATTCCTGTTCTTTCGTGACAAAACTTCTTTCCCCCATTTAAGAGGAAAGATACCTTTGCCTTTCTAACCTGTGAAGGTATTGTGTTAAAAGTGAATTCATATCTTTATTGGTATTTCTTATGATTATGCTTAACAAAAGCATATATTCTAAAATAAAACTATTTAATTGAAAATTTAGTTTCAAAAGCAGTCTTACATTACCTTTATAATTTTCTCTCTTATTACTATCAATATTCATATCAAAATTTAGAATTCTAGGATTTATGCAGTATTGCTGATTTATGGTAGTTTGTAATATTTATGCTGGAAACGTATTTTTCATTTGCACTATTTGCTCGATTTTTTTTTTACCAAATGTTTGCAAACTAGTCAATTGTAAATTCGGTTGTTTTTTTAAATGATAAGAAAGTAGTAGTACTATTTTTCTTCAGATTGTTCATGTACATGATAATAGAATAAATTGTCGTTTGTTATAATTTACGTAGATCTGTATGTGAAATTTTCCTATAACTTCTGACCATTCATTCATAATGTATGTTTTTATTGTTGATCATTCTTCAATACTATGTGAAATAATGAAAATAACAGTCCAAATATTTTTCTTCAAAATTTAAATTATGTCTTGAAATTCATCAAATGCATTAATTTTCCTGTGACATTGAGCTAACAATTTTCAATATTTTGTAATTTCAGCTCTTATAAAAAAAAAGCTCAATTAATAATAATTATCATGTAGATAACACTAGGACTTTGATAATGGTTCAAGGTCATGCAAAAATATGATTTGTATAATATGAATAAAAAATGTTCATTTTTTACCATTTTACTTTTCTTTGATCAGGTGATATTTCTCTCTTATTGTTCTTGTTATAATGTTTGACACAATGCTTTATGAACAATTAAACAATTGCCCTAATAATAATGTTTTAGATATGCTGAAATGTTTTTATTATGTTCCATATAATGGGAGTTGATATAAAAGATTATTTTAAGTTTTTTTTCTGCAAAGGAGCTCTAAATAGAAACATTATTCATTAATCTTGTGTTTGTTTTATATTGTAATCCCATATTGATGATAACTTCTCAGTATGCTAGTTAGAAATTTGCTATTGCCCCATACCGAATGAACCCCCCACCCCCCTCTCCCCACCAAGAAAAAAATGGCGTATATTGATAGCACCTGGTTGTCTGCTAGCACTAGCAGTGTGTCCCCTCTGTATGGAAGAAAATCAATACTAATTTGCAGAAAATGTTCACTATAATGAGACGATGTGTAGAGCGCAAGTTTGACCTTTCGCAGGTCAAGGTCAGCCTTTGTAGGAATATCAAAATTGTATTGGCTCTGTATCTTGAACCGATTGATGATTAGAAGAAATTGAAAATGACAAGGTGGACGAAATCCCTGTGCCCTGTCTTGCAAGCCTATACAATTCAATGTGTTCCAATACTTGCGATAACAAGAACATGTTACTTCCGCTTGCTGTACTTCGGGAGCCTGTATATTACAACTTTTTATGCCACCGCAGCATTTGATGCGGTGGCATATAGCAATTCACCTATGTTTGTGTTCTATAGATTATATAGTGAAACTTAAAAAATCTTGTGAAAAACCACTAGTCCAATTTCAACCAAACTTGGCAGGATTAGTCTTTGGATGAAGGGCTTCCAAAGTTGTTCAAAGAATTTTATTCCATGCAGAAATCTGGTTGCCATGGCAACCAAAAGGAATTATAAGAAACAAATTTAAAATTTTTTTCTATTTCAACGGTAATTTTTGACTTGTCGCTGCCATTTTGGATTCTGATACCTCTGTGTGACGCGATCTGAAGTCAAATTGGCTCGTCTAATCAGATCGCTTCGACCCAGGTTCAGATGGCTTCGACGAATTCAAAAATACCGTGAACAGAAAAAATCGGAATGATAGTGATATTCGTAAGACTTGAATTAGATAAGCTGTGGAATTCTAGTTCTTTCTATTAATGTTAATGAACGATGCAGCGAAATCCTGCCGGAATGCGCCTCAGTCACCGAAACGACGATTCCCGTGTTCCACATTGTTTGGCAAATGAACATATAGGAGGCTTTTCACCTTTCTATAACTATAATTTTGATAGTGGAAATTTTTTTTTTTTTTATATAATTTCATCGGTGGTTTTGTATTTGGTACCTTATAGTAAGCCTTAGAGTGTTGAATTATTTTTTTTTTTCAGGGTTGTAGTTAGGGGTCCAGGGCAGATAGGGGTGGGGTGTCCAAACACTGATACTGCCACCTGTGATGTCTGTGTGTGTGTTCTATAGATTATAAAGTGAACTTAAAAAATCTTGTGAAAAACAACTAGTCCAATTTCAACCAAACTTGGCAGGATTAGTCTTTGGATGAAGGGCTTCCAAAGTTGTTCAAAGAATTTTCATTCCATGCAGAAATCTGGTTGCCATGGCAACCAAAAGGAATTATAAGAACAAATTTAAAAAATCTTTCTGTAAAGACCGAGAAGGCCTAGAGCTTAGATATTTTGCATAAGGTATTGTCTGGTAAACCTCTACCAAGATTGTTCAAATTATAGCCCTGGGGTCATTGATTTTTACTATATGTACATATAGTAAAAACTTAAAATACCTTCTTGTCTGAAGGTACAAGGCTTAGAGGTTTGATATTTGGTATGTGTTATTATCTATAGGTACTCTACCAAAGTTGTTCAAATTTTGCCTCTAGTGTCAAAATCAGCCCCGCCCGGGGGTCATAGGTTTTCCTTATATGTATATACTTATAATATATGTATATAGTAAAACTTTAAAAAAATTTCTTCTAGCAATTGACAAATGCTAGAGGTTAGATATTTTGCATGAAACATTGTGTAGTGAACCTCTACCAAGATGTTCAAATTATAGCCCTGGAGTTAAAATTGGCCCTGCCCCGGGGGTCATTGATTTTCCATATATACATATAGTAAAAAATCTTATTGTCTGAAGGTACAAGGCTTAGAGCTTTAATATTTGGTGTATGATATCATCTATAGGAAATCTACCAAAGTTGTTCAAATTTTACCTCTAGTGTCAAAGTTAGCCCCAACCCGGGGGTCATAGGTTTTCCTGATATGTATATATATGTAGTAAAAACTTTAAAAAATCATCTTCTCTAAATTGACAAAGGCTAGAGGTTAGATATTTTGCATGAAACATTGTGTAGTGAACCTCTAGCCAGATTGTACAAAATATAGCCCTGGGGTCAAAATTGACCCCACCCCGGGGGTCATTATTTTCACTATGTTTATATAGTAAAAAATTAAAAAAATCTTATTGTCTGAAAGTACAAGGCTTAGAGCTTTGATATTTGGTACATAATATCATCTATGGGTCCTCTTCTAAAGTTGTTTTAATTATGCCCCTAGTGTTAAAATTGCCCTGCCCCAGAGGCGATTATTTTCCTTATATGTATAAAGCAAAAACTTGAAAATCTTCTCTGAATTGACAAAGGCTAGAGGTTAAATATTTGACATGAGACTGCGAAGTGATTCTCATTATATACACATAGTAAAAACAGAAACTAAAACAAATGTTTTCTGAATTGGAGAAAGCTACAGCTTTGATATTTGACATGAATTGTTGTTTGGTGGACCTGTATCAATATTGTTTTGAATTAAACCCTTGTGTCAAAATTTTGCCTTGCCCAAGGGGACAGTGACCTACTTTCTTGTCCTTTGATGTACAGCAATGAAATTTTGACCATTTGCACAGTTTTAGTTGTAAAATTGAACTTTGATATCAGGTGACCTAGATTTTGATGATGTGACCTACTTTCTTGTCCTTTCATGCACAGCTATGAAATTTGAACCATGTGCACATATTAAGATGTAAAGTGAACTTTGATATCAGCTGACCTAGTGCCTTACTGTGTTGTCCTTTGATGTAGTCATGAAATTTAGGCTGTGTGAAATATGACCTTCACCACCAAATTCACTAGACTCAACTGCATTGATACATTCCTACTCTGATCTTTTATTTGAATAACAGTAGATTTAACCACTAATCTGATAATAAGAATTAGATAGGTCAGGGATCTATACATTATATGACAATCTTCAATTGTAAAGAAACAAAAAAATCTGTTCCTACACTACTATTTAGTGTTGTATTAATGCGGTGGCATAGCATTTTTCACAAATGCAATCTTTTATTACAGAAAGTAGTCATTTTATACGATAAGGATAAGATAAAATATTTTTCAGACTAGTCTTAACCTAAATATAAGATTATTTTTGATTACTAAATTTACATTCGGGCGTGTATTTACCCACCTTTACGATGATCTTGTTTTGGTATTTATTCCGCCATACTCTGGAATCTGTTTAACTGGTTATGCTTTAAGCGCCAGTTTCCGTTGACTTCCTAAAGAAATTCCATTAAGTCGCTTTGAATAAGGATTAGAAAATATACAACCATCAAGAAAGACCATTACCAGTTACATATGGTCCCTAAATTTTTTAGATTAAAGTTTGTTGATCTGACAACATTTGAGAAAACCTTAAAACAGCAACGGCGAAAAAACATGTTCAATGTGTTGTGCTTCTGGTAGATAAGGATGTTGGAAAGTTGTTTTGATGCCGAGTAGAACGTGCTAGATGAAAGAAATTAGTTTTTCCGCGTTAATTTAAGGTTGAAATTTTCAGAGAACATACAATATTTTGTTAGAGAAACGGCAAAGCTATATTAGTTGTTTTGTAAAAATTCTTATTTCCCTGAGGGCATTTTAATACAAGTAAAGTTGGTCCTAGAGAGAAAGACAAAAGTAATATAATGTGACTACTATTATTTGCACGTGGGTATATACAATTTACTTTTGAGTGCGTGAATAAAGGGATGATGCCATTTTCTGTAAAACAATTGTCTTTCACTGCCAGTTATTCAAATATATCTTGAAGTATAGAGTATTTTCCTTTTGTCACCATAATTATTATTGTTTGTGATGTAAAGCACAAAAGTAATTCCCTGCATTATGAAGGAAACTGTTTTAAACAAGATTCAAATATTATTTTCATCACCGTTCAAGTAAATGGTAAAAAATAAATAAAGAACAAATATTTGCGCTAGCATTCCCTTTTCAATGAATAAAGATTAAAATTATGTAATTTAAATTGTCTTGTTAAATGACCAATTGAAACTCAGCAAATTTGACGTCTGCGTCCCAGCACTGTTTGTCGTTTCTAAGCGACGTCTTTAGTTAACAACGTCATTAACAACGCTGCTTCGAAAGTTGCGGACGCTGCATAGAAAGCTATTCAAGAAAAAACAACAGTTGCATCATTGGCATCGTAGATATGTCCAGGTAAAAACCCACTTACTTTATACTATTTACACTTATATGTGACGATGAATTAACTTGAACCCGGGATGTGTATAAAATTTAGATGTAACTGCAGTATCTTTTTTTATTTATAATACGTTCATGATTGAAGGACTGAACTGTATTACAACATATTTGTTAACTGTCAATACTCGGAATTGAGCTAACGAAGAATACTGTACCCCTTCACTTTCACGCAACATTTCCACAATTTAAAGACTCCGAATAATATTGTGACATTGCGTTATTTAATGTATGGACACTATCTCCCATCTGCCGCATAATCTGCACATCTTTCAAATTCTATTTGAAAGACCCTGGTACATCTGATCATTTGAGGTACTTTTCCTACCTGTAGACTAGCTGAATATTTCAGTCTGCTGCATTTTTCTTCTACAAATAAATTTGTAACATCCGTATTAGTGATTATAAATGACCGGAATTAATGTTATTCGTATTTATTCCAATTAAAATAAACACTTAAAATTATCTGATTAGTGGATACAAAAAGAATTTCACCACAACATTTTTGTTAACAAAAGAGCACATGTCAATGTTTGTGGGTAAATTTATGGTTATTCAAATGAAAGGTCAGAGTAAGGATCTACTATAGTATCAATTGCATCCGTAATGAGTATCTTTTTTCGCATCACAGTAAAAGACCTGTTTTATTTTTTAGGAGAATCACAACATAACAATCTAAAGTGTAATAATGTTTTTCTTTCTTATTTCAGACATAAAAATAGACGGGAGAAGAAACAATCCAATTTATTAGGTAAGTACCTTACACGCACCTTTTATATATGTCTTTTCTTAAATATGGTGACTGATGTTTAGTACTTGCCTTTACATAAGTTTCTTTTGCGATGAACAGGACGTGAAGTGGCTTCACACTTGGTTAAGCTAGAGTATATATTTTTATTATGAAATTAACAATGACAAAAGATGGCTAGAGAAGTCACTTCAATAACAAAACAAAATGTCTACGCTATGACATATAAGTGTACCATAAACATTTCATGTTCATTATACTCATAAATTTAAAAATCATACATAATATAAGATACAATTCTAGGATATGTGATTTTTTTTCTGATAAGACAGTCGCAAATTTGTCAAGTTTGCTATCATATTGCTCGCTTGAAAGTGTGAACATATTTCTTGCGTCCTATCCCTTGTTATACAGTTGAGCTACCGCCAGTCATGAAATAGTTATTTTCATATCACTCGATAAAAAAATCCTGTATTTATAGAAAAAACTTGAATTTTCTGTTTAATATATACATGTTTCTCTTTTTTGATATTACAATTTGAAAAACTTCATCTTACATTATGTGTATTGGCAGAATTTAGTAAAAAGTAGTCCGGTAAAACTATGTGTCATTGCAGCGAAAAGTGGAAATACGGAAAATGAAAATACGCATTTTATTTCAATATTTCATTTATAAGTACAGTATAAAGTAAAGTCGCCTTTTTATCACTTGTGATATAGAATGGATATTTTCATCCGGGTCATAAATACTTTTGGATATATACATGCATATTTTGCCATTTCCGTGTCTTGTATAAATGAGACACGTATCTGAACATGAACAACAGCCTATCTTGGAACTAGACTGGTACGAATTTGACGGAGTTCGCCGGACTTGTACGAACACATATAAATTACTCTTGATTAATTGTTACCTGCACCACCTTAATTCATTATTTACTTAAAACATATACACTTGTAATATGATCTTCTCTACCAACAAGTACACATCGTAACTTACAAACACTTATTAACTCATAAAAATCTGCTTTTGTTATTCTTTAACAAGCACACTTTTAACTTAGAAATATAATTATACGGTTCTAACTTACGAAAATAATAATGCACTGTTAACGTAAAGTATTCTGCACTCTTACCATATAAAATTATGAAATCTGCGCTTATAAAAGTATGCACTTTAACTTCTAAAACTCTGTAATCTTAGGTTATAAAAATCTGTATTCTTAACTTATCTAATATTTCACTTACATTAAAATCTTATTAACACGCTCACTCTTAACTTCTAAAAATTTGGACTAGTTATACCCTGCATGAGCTTATAAAAGTATTTACTCATTTCTCTGTCTTATAAAATATGCACCGAGCTTATAAAAATCTGCTTTCTTAAAGTACAAACATATACTTGCGTAATTTATAAATATATGCACTTTAAAGCTGCACGCCTCCAGATGAGCCAAAATATTTCAAGAAAATCAAACTTGAAAAAAATGTATTAAGACTTTAAGAAACAAAGTACAAGCAATAATCTATACGTGTTACGTGCGTTTAATGACTGATTTTGCAGTATTTACCTTAAAATAATGCAGTAAAAGCTGTTGCTTCGTATTTTGACCTCTTTCTGGTAATTTATGTGGATTGTAAGTGCCGTTTGCGATGTATAAATCACTTTCTTTGTTCCCTTACCTAATTATACTTTTATATACAGTTTCAAAATTTTTATGAAAATTAGCACGAATCTCGGGGCATGCTGCTTTAAACTTTTAACTTATAAATTAATCATATTTTATAATCATAAGCTATGGAAACAATTTCAAACAACAGCATAGTACATCAATACGTGAAATGCATACTTTTACTTGAAAAACAAGATTGGAAAAAAATATAATAAAACATAAATGGCAGAGGATATATCGAACAAGTGAAGGTTCAATACTAAATTTATTGAACGAGTTGAATAAAAACAAATCTTGCGAGTCATGAATCTACGCGATTATTAAAATATATTTATCACATACCTATAAAAGAACTGTTTACAGAGAAAATAATAATTTTTCGTTTTTGATGCGCCTATAGTGTTACGCTAACTTTTTGCGCGCTTCTCCGCGATATTTGTATGAGACATCAAAATATATGCACGGCCAGGCAATACCATTTTTACTGAATAAAAGCCGCACTGGCATGTAATAAACAGAGGATACTGAATGACTCAATTCATCAAAAAATCAAAGTTTCAGAATAAAATTATAAAATACTAGCCTCAATAAATATAGTATTGACTCTACACGAATATATAATATTCTATTTATAACACACCTATAAAAGAACTGTTTATAGTGAAAATAATCAATTTTCCTAAATTGTAACGCTAACGTTTTGCACGGGTTTACACTATGTTTGTATAACGCAAATGACATCACGTCAATATAATAATATGCAGGGACATGCAATACCATTTTTGCTGAATAAAAGGGGCACGGTTATCTATACTGAATAAGTGTAGATATAACACTACATAGAGGATATTGAATGAGTGTAAGTTCAATACTGAATTTATTGCACGAGTTGGCGAGCATAATATTATTTTATTCAACGAGTGCAATAAATTCAGTAATGAACTTACACGAATTTAATATTCTATTTATCACATAACCAAAAATAAAGACCGTTTAAAGTGAAATAAGAGTAATTTTACATTGACGCGCCTATAGTATAACGCTAACATTTAGCGCGTCTTTACACTATGTTTGTATAACGCTTATGACGTCACGTCAAAATATATGCACGGCCGTGCAATACCATTTTTACGGAGTCGCAAAATCGGCACGGGTGTGTGATAAATGCATTTATTGAACGGGTTGAATAATTAAAATTATATTATGACAGTCTCTGGCTCATGAGTTCATTAAATATAGTATTGAATCTACACAAATCTACACGAATATATAGAGGATATTGAATGAGTGTAAGTTCAATACTGAATTTATTGCACGAGTTGAATAAAATTATATTATGCGAGCCTCTGGCGAGCATAATATTATTTTATTCAACGAGTGCAATAAATTCAGTAATGAACTTACACGAATTTAATATTCTATTTATCACATAACCAAAATAAAGACCGTTTAAAGTGAAATAAGAGTCATTTTTCATCATTGACGCGTCTATAGTATAACGCTAACATTTAGCTCGTCTTTACACTATGTTTACAGCTAAGAGAGTTATTTTTCTTTGATGCGTCTGTCATGGTAAAACAATGTAAACTTAAACCTGTCAATGGTAACACAATTGTCAGGGGTAAAACAATGTAAACCTAAACCTGTATAGTGGCGCACTTTCATGTTGTTTTTTTGTGTGTATACATGTTGTATAATGCAAATGACAATACGTTATTGAAATGGTATTACACTAGTACGTGTAGATATCATTTTAAATTTTTTTTCACACTCCCGTGCCGTGCCTGATGTAATAAACCACACTATATTGATCAACCCTTTAAATTGCGTATGTTAAATTGAAAAATAATTTTGATTTTTTTTCAATTACGCAAAGATGGAGACTTACATTAAATTAATTAATTAATGTGCTTCAAAAATGTTTTAGTTTTAAACTTATTAATAGGTTTTAAGTTCCGAAGTGTGTCATATAACACACGAATTAAAACAGCTAAATAATGTTAACTAGCAGAGTTAGGTAAATGTATATGCATAAACACTAAAACAGTTAAAAAAATTATCTAGTGGTATCAATAAGCAATAGATCTACTATAATAGAGCACACTTCAAATATTTTGTCTGTTATTTACACTAGTTTTTAAAGTTATTTCGCGTAAACAAAGATGAAAACACACGTATATTGAAATTTGAAAATGATGTACTTTAAATGATTAAAATACTTATTTTCCAAAATTTATACCCTATTAACCAGAAATGAAACCTGACAGACTGTCATACTGTTTCAGTTTTAATGACGGAAAAATACAAGCACATATATAATTATCTACAGGCGACAAAACAATTTTTTATTTTCTCTTTTTTTACATATACATACGCATACAATTTGCCACGAACTGGCATTTTGCATTATGTAGTTTCCCTTTTTGTTACCTAGTGGTCAAGAGCCTAACTTTTTCTTCTTTATTACCTTGTGGCATGTTCCCTTTGTGCCTCCGTAAATTTACGCATTTTATAGATACCTTAACATTCTTTTTGTGAGAAATTCTTTTAGATCGTTTCTGTCTTTGCAGATGACGAAGTACCGCAGTTACCAAAACTACCCAAACTTCCAAAGTTAAGGACATACACAACTAATTGTGGCAAATTGGATGCACGTAAAGTGATCACAGGTGAGAATGTTTTTGAAAAAAAAAAACCCATATGAATGGAATGCTTATCTCTTATGTATACGAATTTAAAGTACTTATACATTTATTGTACTGGAATGTTACCTTTAAAATTTGGATAAACGGCATGCATACATTTGCCAAAAAAGAATTGAAAAAGAAAAACACTTCAAAATGCATATACAAATACCACTTGTGCAATATAAAGTAGAGCAATTCAGAAATAAATTGTGTGTTGGAAAGATCGTAGTGTCAAATATTGAATTCTTACCACCCCTTTTTTCCTTTGGTGTCCTATTTACCTTGAAATTGACAGATTTTGTATGTTATACAAGTAATTTTCTCTATATACAGCTGTGCCAGTTATTTAAAAATTATTTACCAAATTTTATTAGAGACAGAAATATTTCTAATACGAGTAGAGATCTAATATTTTTTTTATTAAAAGGTATCATTTATCTTTCAGAAGCTGAACTTGCTTCAAAGAAAAGAAACGATGAACCTTTAAATTTTTGTCAAGAGCGACAAAGAATTGCTGAAAAGGTTATACAAAAATGTGGTTATGATAATATTACAGTGAATGCAAGACAAGTTCCGTATTGGAACCAAAGATGTATTCACCCCATTGATAGCGATGGAGTTGAAATCTCCGATGAATTTAGAAATTCAAGTTATCAAGTAAGAGAAATGCCTCTTCAAAGAAGTGCTGAGAGAGAAATAGAGCTAGATAAGAAGCGACAAGCTATGTTGGAGACAAAAGATCGACAGGTTAAGTCTTTGAGAAAATATAAGAAGATTAAATTCGAAGAAAACCAGGGGTCTAGAGTAGCATCTGAAACAGATCAAGAAGAAAAGAACAAGAAAAGACACACGAAAAAGTTAAACAAGTCCAGGGAGGAAAACAGATTTGTTTCATACGAAATGTCTGAGGACCCCGCTTGGCAACGCCACATGGCAACGTCACATGGTAACGCCGCATGGCAACGTCATATGGCAGTACACGACAACTACACACAACTGCCTCAATCTAAGTATCATATTCTTCCCCCTATTAAAGAACATCAGCAGGTGCAAAAACAAACTGAAGTTATTCAAGTCAATGTTGTAGACGACCGGTCTGATAGCAACTGCAGTGACATTGAATTAGACAAAGGTTATACGTCTGGACACGCTGAAATTGTACGCAAAGACAAGAAATTGCAACAAGAACTAAAGTTAGACTTGAGTTTTACAAAAACTCCCGAACCAAGGAGAAAAGCAAACAAAATATCAAAACAAAGTAAAAGTCAAGATAACATGACAACAAGGAGATTATATAACACGAGTGAAAGATTATAAAATTATTAGATAACCACAATGATTCCACATGATACTTTTTGAAAGATTTGAATTGAACAACAGTTTGAAGTTTTATTTTATTGCAAACATATTGACAATTATTTTATGTCTATAATGTTTCCGTACATTTTCAAAAGAATGGGAACTATATTAATGCTATATGGAAAGACCAACAAATATTATTAGAGTTGATGATCTGAAAAAATTAGACAGGGCCTTAACTACAATTATAAAGCCAGAAAAATACAGACTCACAAATTCAGTATCATGATATAATTTATTGATATGGACAGTTTATAACATATTGAAATGTGTAGACAACAATCAGAAGTCAAAGTCAAAGTACAGAAACTTATAATGGCGTACTTTGCAGGAATGATAAGAATTCATGATGCAAATATACTGCTGGAACCATGAAATACCCTCGATCTAAAGAAATTGTAAGAATTCAAAATCAGGATGAAAGTCAGGAATGGTAATTGCAACTTTACCACGATACAAAGTTCATGCAGGAAGTGTTTAATGTATATTAGGGACAGATATTGCAATGCTTTTGAAATATCCACGAGAGACAGTGCTAGCATTGTAAAAAAATACCTCGCAGGAATTGTAAACAATCCACAGGACAAAGATCGTATTGAAATTGTTAAATGTCATAAATGATATATAGATAATTTGATGCTCATATTTAAAGATTGTTATTTGAAATTAAAAAGAATGTGTATAAATTTCCTTTGCTTTTTTTATTTCCACTAGTCTTCTATGAAACTACCTCTTATAATATTATAGCAATTTGTATCATAAAACATATAATTCTTGATATGCAAGTCCACATATGATCTGAAATAAATATCAAATCTAAGCTTTCTATGAAATTACCTCTTATAATATTATAGCAATTTGTATCATAAAACATATAATTCCTGATATGCAAGTCCACATATGATCTGAAATAAATATCAAATCTAAGCTGATTTTGGATATTTACTAAACAGGCATATAAAACTTAAATAGTATAAAAAAGCTACTTTTTTCAACACCATCAAGGTCAAACATCAATAATCTAGAATAATTTATGGAAAGCCTTGACTGTCTTATAATTATAAACCTGAACATTGTTATGTCCAAATAGCAATATATTGAGTCAACCTTTCCTTATACAAGGTGCACTCTCAATATATTATGTGGATCCATCTTTATATGTAGTCAACTGAACAATACATGTATATGATGTCAATGTGTCTTTATATGATGTCATTATATCATTATGTGATGTGCATTTTTGAATATATTATGTGGAACCATCCTTATATAAAGTCAAAATAACAATATATTATGTCAGTCTGTCCTTATATGATGTCAGTCTGTCATTATATGATGTGAAGTTATGAATATATTATGTGGAATAATAATTATATAGAGTCAACTCAATATGATGTCAATGTCTCCTTATATTATGTCAATCTATTAATATACGCTGTGCATTTTTCAGTATATTATGTACAATCTTCTTTATATAGAGTCAACTTAACAATATATGATGTAAATGTGTCCTTATATGATGTAAATCTTTCATTATACGATGTGCATTAATGAATATATTGTGTGGAACCATCTTTATATAGAGTCAAAATAACATTATGTTATGTAGAACCGTCTTTATATAGAGTCAACTTAACAATATATGATGTCAAGACGTCCATTTATGATGCCAATCTTTCATTGTACGATGTGCATTAATGAATATATTATGTGAAACCATCTTTATGTACAGTCAACTTAACATTATATGATGTCAACACGTCCTTATATGATGTCAATCTTTCATTATACGATGTGCATTAATGAATATATTATGTGAAACCATCTTTATATAGAGTCAACTTAACATTATATGATGTGTATGTGTCCTTATATGATGTCAGTCTTTCATTATATGATGTGCAATTACGAATATATTATGTGGAACCATTCTTATATAGAGTCAAAACAACACTTTATTATGTAGAATTGTCTTTATATAGAGTCAGCTTAACAATATATGATACAATTTACTTTGAGTTTTCCCGCTGTCGCCACGAACGGTGCATAGTGAGATATAACCCGGTAAATTTAACCCCATCAGTATAATGACAGAAGCACACGATATAATGATGTTTGCACTTCATATAAAGCAGCGGTCGTATAACAATAGATGCACATCGTATAATGAAAGATTGACATAATATATTGATAAGTTGACTGTATATAATGATTCTACCACATCATATATTCATAAATGCACATCGTATAATGATTGGTCGACATCATATAAAGACACATTGACATCATATATTGTTGAGTTGACTTCATATAAGGGTGCATCTACATAATATATTCATGAGTGCACATCGTATAAAGAAAGAGTGACACAACAACGTTAATTTTCACAATTATAAGACAGTCATGGCTTTCCATAATAATTCGTCACACAGTATATCTACAGAAATAAATCTGTAAAATAAACGTTAACGACTTTTTAACGGCGTTTCCAACACCAACCCGCAACTAGATTGTATGTAATGTTCATTTCTTGTAAACATTTTTTTTTCATTATATTTTGTAAATATCTGCTGTTTGTTTGTTTGAGAAACTAGTTTTACGATGTGTTAATGGTCGGCGTAAAAACCAGAAAAACAAACTAACATGTTGTTGTCTTGAAATCTTTAATAGTCCGCTAGCTTGACACAATATTCCAAAAGTCAAAGAGACAATGAAACACTACATTAATGCAGAAAAAAAGCTTGATAAAGCTTTTGAATTACTTCTTTACATGTTTATACGTTCATGGTCCCCATATAACAGTGCATTTTTGAATATTCTTTTACATTGTGTGTAATTTTGATTTTGGATTAAAAGAAGAGCCAATAACAGGAAAAAGGAATTAATTGAGATATTGTGAAAAAACAACAACAAAAACAAACAAACAAACAAAGAAACAAACAACAACAATATATAAAAACAGTAACACCGTTTTGAAATATTTTTTTCCCATATGCAGTCTTACTTTATTAACGATCCATCGGTACGATGGACATATGACATATCCGTTTTTTATTTATCTCGTGTCTAAAAAATTTACGAGATGTAACCTCATTATCACGTGGCCACAAAAATAACACAACCCCCCCAGAAAAACAACAACAAAAAAAAAAACACCCCCCCCCCCAAAAAAAAAAAAAACATGCCACCGTACTTTGAAGGGTCTCATTTCAATTATAATATCTTCACGTTAAAGTAGTTTCTGTGACACTCGACACATTTGGTCAATTCTGTGCTCTTTCTAACAAATGGTAAAAGTTTCGGTAATGTTGATACAAAAGCCTCTGCGCCAGTTGATCTACTGTTTACTATCCTCAAACTTTTATCATCTACTTCTGCCGTTTCTCTACAGCTGATATTGTCAATTGACTCTAACATCATTTCTATTTCCTGCAAAAACTGTTCGCATGGAAACTTGTAAATTTTGCCTCTTAGAATATTATGCTTTCCAAAAAAGATGCTCGGGATATTTAGGGAAAATCTGTCTCCTGGCATGAAAACTCTTGCCAATCTGCTTGGTTCAATTTTTTCTTCTTCCGCTTTTCGGTTAAACAGATAGTGTAAACATGAGGCTACTAACGTTTTGAAACAAACTGCTAGATTCTCTTCCTCTTCACAATGACAGCTATGCTTAAGGACGAGTGTCTTCAATGCATATGAAGGGAGGAATGTAAAGCCATTACCACCATTGAAAATATATTTCAAAAGTTTGTAGCAATCTTTATGGTGCTGTCCCATACTCCGCACCAATTCAACTTCAGTTTCGGTAAATACCAAACACATGCATTGCTTTGCATCACAAGACGCCTTTTCGCGACAAGAAATCAGCATGACTTTTCCATTCTCCTTCACCTTCCTGAAGAAAAGCGGATCATATGTATCTTTTTCGGAAATGATGTCAGGCGTAAGTTCTACCTCTATTGCAGGTGTTATGTCAACTCCTATCGTAATTATCTCACCACTGCGATTGGATTTCCAACGAAATTTAGGAGTAAACGCTGGACCGTGTTTTTTGACATGGAAGTTAAAAAACGAATCTGTTTCGATTTCCCCAATATCAGTTTTACATGCGAGTTTATCATTTTGCATGAAGTTACACACTTCCTCTCTAAATGCGTTTCCTAAGGTATCAAAATAACCACTTAACCAGTCAGAATGACCTCTCGTAAAATTGCTCTTTAGATATTCACCATCCATCCACTTTGCCCAAATGGTTTTCAAACCCGGATCTATGATTTTAACATGAGCATATCCTCTGTTTTTCTCACATGCTCTCTCGACTTGCACACCATTTGCTTCTATTTTTAGAATAGCTAGGTAATCAAATTCATTCGGGTGACCTACACTTGTTTCTTCAGCCATACTTCCTACTCTGACGACACGTGAAAACTGGAGCCATCCCACCTTTGACGAAATAGTAGCCACCAAAGTTTCAACTACAAAGTCGACACTGCAAATTATGTCACACATTTCTTTCTTTGTTAAACGAAAATTAATTCGTCTTTTGAGTAGATTATGGAAATATTCCGTCAGTTTGAAGTTCTTTTCATTTTCAGAATTTTTGTCGGGCTTTTTGTCTGCCATCTTGTTATGTTGTTGCTTTTTGTGAAAGAGTTAATATCTGTCAGAAATAATATTCTTATTATACTTTTAAACAGTAAATTTGAATAACGCAAAGAAATTAATGCTCATTAAAAGAGTCAAAATTATAAATTGTATCATAAATTCTTGTTTACATTGAACGTCTCTCTTCGCCATAATATCTTTATTTAGTAATAATCCTGATAAAATATATATATTTGTAAACTCCGAGGACAGACATCTTGAGACCTAACTTATAAAGAACAACTGTTGCAACATTATAATTGCATATCAATTAAATGTAATTATATATACAAATGTACATGTACAAACCAACATACTGAACCATCAAAATGATAAGAACAACTTACAGAAAATTATCACAATGACTTATTCTAGTTAACAAAATAGGATCGAAAATAACGAATGATAACAACACTGATTTTACCTTTATTCTGTTAAAATCTCAATGTAAGTGACAGAGAAATGACAATAACTGACAAAACCAATGAGGACATAAATATGTTTACAACAATTGCATCGACACGGCCAGCTTGTTTTTGATGTCAAAAGTACTTTAAGATGAACTGTACTTATACAAATAGTTCGTTCAACTTTGTTGAACTTTATGATTTTGACAATTAAACTGCTTGATTAATTACTAACTTGTTTACGTTTTACGCTTTGTGACATACTTAATTAGGTTATCTAAATTCATTGAAAACTCAATTATTAATGTATACATATAAACAAAACAAACACTTTTGTACACCTTAACATTTTATAATAACAAACAATAGATTTTAAACATTCAAATGACGAGTAATAATTTGAGCCGCGTCACGACAAAATCAACATAATGCGTTTACGGCCAGCATCCGCGCAGTCTGATCAGGATCCATGCTGTTCGCTTACAGTCTGATCAGGATCCATGCTGTTCGCTTACAATCAAGTTGAGAAACTGATAGCGAACAACATGGATCCTGATCAGACTGTGCGGATGCGCAGGCTGGTCTGGATCCAAGCTGGTCGCAAACGCATTACGTTGGTTTTGTCATGGCGCGGCTCATTTATCTTCTAGAAACAGTAAAAATGCACAAAACCGTCAACATCTACCAAATTATATAAAACATAATAATCTGTTTATCGACATATTATATGAAATGTGAAGATAAACGTTCAATTAGTATATCATTTTGTAATACACAGTGGGTTATTATGGTACGTTATTTATATACATGTATCCGAAAGCTGAATAGAATAATGAGTTGATGACCTAAACATTCCGAAAATCTATTTATAGAGGGATGTACTCCTATCGGTAATTCCCGGTTTTGACCGGGATTCACTAGTGACCGGCGAATAGTACCATACATTTATTGTCCGGTCTCTCCCGATTTTGGAGTAGATGTTTGATATCGTTACAGAACAGAACAAATATTTTACAGATAAATAAGCTTTTTTCAAAATGAATGTTTGTCACTTAGTTTGGTTGCAATAATTAATAAACACAGATCAACTCTCAAATTTATTGATCATTATTATACATAAACATACAATTCGAAAAAAAACAACAACAACAATAGCATGTTTTATTTTATTAATATGAGATGAAAACAATACATATGTACAATAATTTAGAAAAAAGGTACATTTTTATGGTATTAATATGACACTATCAACTTTGAAACATTTTATTTAATATGTGATTCGTGTTTAGTAAAGATGCCGAGGAATTATTCACAGTTACAAATTAGATAATTGATTGATAATTTAAAAAATGATAAAGAAAAATACAAATGTACATGTATATGGTTTAAGAATAAACAATGTATATTGAAAGATTAACCATATTTTACTGACTTTTTTCCAGTTAAGTTTTGACTTATAATCGTCGGTCAATATGACAATTGAATTCTTAAAATAGTAGTAAACGTAAAAAACATTATAAATGATTGTATACATGTATATCCGTTGCTATTAATTACCACAATCATAAAGAAATAACAAGTAATATTCTAATCTCTACCATGCTAATCAAAGTTAATAATGAACAATGTCTTTCGTCCGTTCATTCATAAGTGATATACAATTCTGGTAAAAACCAATTAACCATTGAAAAGTTTATAAGAATATCTTGTCATCATATATCTACTAGTTCATTTTTACTTGCTGCATTTCTTGCTTGGACGCCCTTTGATGCTTTGCATCAATGCTTTTCTTGTATATAACATGTATTAAGTGTTATATTTTTGAACGCTCGGTTATTTTCTGCCAAACCGTTTTTGTATGACAATATCGCCGCATCAGATTTAGATCTAGTTATTATACTATTTCATATTAACACTAATACAAATCAATGATTTCAGGTTTATGTGTTTTTGTTAAACAGATTCGATCATTCCAATGGTGAAATGGGTAAAATTTTACACTTTACTGTATTTTTAGTTTTTACACATTAAATCAGCTTCGTGTTTTCATACAAATAACAGAAATCTGAATTTGTGCTGCTTTAAAGGTTTAATGTACGGTAAAAATGCACGACTAAAATATTATCATTGCTGTGAGTATGTATAATAAATAAATTTGCATCCATATCAATTTGATGCTAACACAGATCTATATTAGGTACCGGGCTTTACAAACTCAATAAAGTAGATAATTTTGTTAAGATAAACTATGATAGGTCTATAAATGAGGGATGTTGCATGTTTTCATTATCCCTTATGTACAGACAAAACAACCCGAGTCTGCAATTTTCATGTAATTTTGTTGTGATTAATGCTTCCGAAGGATCACACTTTATCAAGGTTTCAAATTAAAGTGCTAAAACAGACACAGTGACTGACATTTTCATCTTGTGACTTATTCTTAATATAGAAAAATAATCAAATTTTCTGAACAAAGTGCAATTATGCATGTATTACTACGCCCTTTGAATGACTAAAAATGTCAATAAATTACAACCTTTCAGGTTATCCACAACAAGAAAAAAACATGTTAAAAAGATAATGCAAGCTAGTATTGCCTACATAATATATAATGTGAAACCATATGGCTGGGCAGTTAAATGCTATACATGTTTTGATCGAAACCAGTTCGATGATTTTTCATATAATGTCTTCCTCTGTATTGCCTGAAGTAATTTTCAAGGCAATTTTGAACAAGTCTGAAATGTTTGTTCATAAATGGTACCATTAGATTTGCATATGCTTGAGCCCCTGTTTTATGGCCGTTTACAATATTCAGTTCCGAGTAATCAGGTTTCTCCTGCTTATTGATCTCTTCTAAAGATTCTAACATTCTCTCTATTGAAGAAACAAACTGTTCACGTGTAAATTTGAAATCTTTGCCAACAAGAACGTTATGTGTTTTAATGAAAATACTGGATACGTTAATTCCGAATTTCCATCCCGGCATAAACATTCTTACCAATCTACTTGGTTCTATTTGTTCTTTCCTTTCAGCCTTGCTAATTTCATACAGCAAAGACGCTACGATGACTTTAAAGCAAACTGCCAGATTTGCGTTTTCCCGACAGTTAATGTCATGCTTTATCACAAGCATTTTGAATGCATAAGACGGTATATATGAATATCCTCCTCCGCTGTTGAAGATGTATTTCAAAAGCTTGTAGCATTCTTTGTGATGATCGCTTAGGTTTCGGACAAGCTCGACCTCTGTCTGCCGTAAATGTTATACGAAAGCAAAGGCCATCATCACATGCCGTTGACTCATTACACGGAATTAGCATATATCTACCGTGTCTTTCGAGCCTTTTCCATACTCCTGAATGAAATGTTTCATTCTCTGCAATCACATTTCCGTGTCGTGACATGTTTACTTCTATTGCAAAGTCATATCAATAGTTATCGTCTCGGCCTTCTCCGGGTTTTTGATTCCCATATAAATGTATGCATGAACGCTGGACCGTGATTAACAACATCCTTATCGACCCGTAGTGTACCCGTGTTTCTGCTGCATCTTATATCTCCTGAACTTTGAATGACTTTTACGACCTCTGACATAAATGCGTTTGACAGACTGTCGTTACAAGGATCCAAAATGCTCTGAAAACGTTGATCTTTTCTTCTCACTTTCCGTCCAACTGATCTAATAAAACCAACTAATTCAGTGATCTTTCCGAAAAAATCATGACTGAAAGATCCCTTCAGGTAGTCCCCGAGAAGAAAAGGTTCCCAAAGAGATCGAAGGCGCTGATCCAAAACTTTAACATGTGCATATCCTTCTCTTTCTTTTCCGCTGCAATCGCGTTTAACTTTCACCCCATCCTGATGAGTTACAATAAGAAAATCAAACTCATCGGGGTTAACTATGCTCGTTCTTTCTGCCATGCTTCCAACTTTAAGTATTCGGAGTTTGTCATATGGACCTAACCATTTTACATTATTTGCCACTCGCAAAACAATGTCATGTACTAGTGTCTCTACAGCAAGAACAATGTCTTTTGTTTCATCCGGGGGTATTTGAAACTTAATCTTATTGTTCAGTAAATCTCGGAAGAAGTACGTTAGTTTACAGTTCTTCTCTTCTTCAACGACAGACGAACACGCCATTTCGGAAGTGGATATTTTAGTAGCAGGTGCCTTACAGAAGATATGATCTTTTTCTTTCAAGACGTTGATACTTGATATGAAAAAGAATAATTAACTTAATTAAGATAAGAAAAAACTTAATTAAGATACAAGCTATTAGAAATTACGAAAGCCTAATAGTGTCAAATAAAATTAAAAAAGGCGTTATAACGCGAATAAAAGCGTTATTACGCGAATCAAAAGGCGTAATTACGTGGAACAAAGGCGTAATAACGTGAAAAAAGCGAAGCAACGCAAATAAAGGCGAAGTAACGCGAATATAGGCGTTATAAAGCGAATTGAAAGGCATAATTACGCGAATCAAAAGGCGTTATTAATATCGCGAATAAAGGAGTTATAAAACGAATCAAAGGCGTAATAACGCGAATCAAGGCGATATAACGCGAATCAAAAGGAGTAGTGACGCGAAAAAGGCATAGTAACGCTAGGTTTTCCAATTCGCTTGATAACGCAAATTACAAACGCATTATACATCGCAACACTTTCATCATAGCCATACCCTCTCCATTACTATCAAATGCCCCTACGTTACTTTACCGCGCCAAGCGAAGAAAATCATTGACTCGGCAATTCTATCTGCGCTCAAGCCACTTACAACTCGCTCATGGAACTCAACTATCAAATATCCATTCTACTAACTCATCATTCCATTTCACGCAGTATCATCGCAACTTTTCTTTGTCATCACCTCACACTCACCTCTTGATTCATTCGTCATCTCTACATGTGCTTGCGACGAACTCTCAATCCACCGCGCTCACTTGGGCTGTATTCAAAAACAGTATTACTGTCTGCAATCACCATGCACTACAACTCCATTGATTTTACATATGTCAGCCTCATACGAGTAAAGACTTAATTTTCATTTCTCTTTATCTTTGTTATCCTGGTATACTTATCCCCTTAATTCTCGCCATTCTTTATGAACGCCTTTTGTCTTCGGCCGATTATACACGCTGTATATATTGGCGTTATTACGGCCTTTAGAGTCGCGATTATAAGCCTTTTTTCGCGTTTACCTTACCGCTTCCCTTCGATCTCTCGCGTACACTTATGCCTATTTCAATTCGCGTTATAACACTCTGCTCTTGCGTTAATTTGCCCTTTACCTTCTGCGTTTGCCCTACCACGCCCCTTTATGATTCGCGTAATAACGCTTTATTCGCGTTATAACACACTTTGCAACTTTTTTATTTCTTCTTACTATTCTAATATATGACCCACTCTGTTAGGTCTTTTGAAAGAAATAATCTATACACAGAACACCGCACCAAACCCCTGAGCCATGATCGTGAAAAGATTGGATTTGAGAATTCAAGTTAATTTTTATAACTTGTCAAATTCAAATATTCCATATCCTCTATACTTACCAAAATAATATACAAGCACACTAGTCAAGTATGCATTGTTAAAAAACTTTAATTTGGTAATGACATAAAAATGTTTTAGATAAGACGGGTTATCTATTTTTTTGTAGATTAAATATTGACGTTTCTACGATTAAATAGCTGTCCTTACAGTTCTAAAGGTATAAATTTTGGCTAAAATATTTTGTTTGCATACTTTCTAAAGTATGTTCGTAATTCAAAGTTTCGAAGTATTTATATAGCACATTGGCATTAAAATATTAAAAACATAGCAACATCTATTTTGAACAATTTCTCATATTTCGGAACTTCAAATGCAGTAGAGCAACGATGCCCAATTGATTCTAATTGTTTTTTCTTTAAAATTCTGTACAGTTCATGTATGAAAAATCCCCATTGAATTAACTAGGTAAATTTAACTTATTTTAGTTTATTAATTAAAGCACGTTCGTTCTATTTGAAAGGGTTTTGTATTGTGCACAATTTAGATGCCTTATTGTTCCATTTTCTTTTTGTTTTTAAGAATAATATCTTAGGTACTACCAATACTAGATAACCAAATTAGTTTATTAGTATAGGTAAAAGTTTATTAGTACGTATATTTACGAAAATGAAATTGGTCAGGCAAGCTTGGCCACAGTATAAGTTTATCTTTAGTTTAAATCGGCTTATGGTCGCTAAACCTCATTAAATGCCCCAACAGGTTCAATAAACGAGAGAATTTGTGTAAATAATAAACTTTAAAAACGAATACCACACCAAGGGAAATTTGGAAATCTCTAGCAGTAACTGTGTGTAAGGTTACAAAAGGTGAAATATGTAAAACACAAGAGTGATCATGTAAAAATAAACATAACAAAGGTACCATATACCTTACTAGGTTCTCTACTGGCACAGTGGTGATATTTGTGCATTTTTATTTATCTCGTGGCCAGCAGTTACTAACTCGTGAGCACGAGATATTAAGTGGTTCGCAGACATACTATTTCGTGGCCACGAGTAACTAAGTCGTGCGCACGAGACAACTAAGTGGTGGACACTAGCTACTATGTCATCTGGCAAAACGAGGTTACTAAGTCATGTGGCACGAGATAACTATGTCGTAGGACAAGAGTAACTCAGTTGTTCGCATGAGATACTATGTCGTGGCCACGCAGCTGTTATTTAGTCGTGGAACGAGATAATTAAGTGGGTTTGCACGAGTTACCATGTCGTAAACACGAAGTTACTTAGTCGTGCACACGAGATAAATAACACTTTATATTTGAATTGTCTTTAGTTAACTAGAACATGTGCCAATCTCTGACCCATACTTCACCCTGCCCTGTCACAGTGCTTATTATATATAAAATTATATGACTGGACAATGATTTTACATTTAATTGTTTGACCCAGATGCGCTCAAACATTATCAATTGCCAGCCTACTTGATCAATTGACACACCTCACATGCCACATACTACGCGCTCTCATATAAACCAACATGGCCTATTTTCCTCTCTAGTTTATCAGACATGGAATTTTACATGCAAGCTAGTCACTGGTAACTCTTGACCATTTGGGACCTGAATTACCCACCCTCAAACACCTCAGAAGGTCATCTTCTGGCAAATCGGGCAACTCGCTCTCTTCACCACACACTACAAATAAACCAGGGCTTATTAACCCCTCTCAAGTTAACTCGTTATGAACAAGGGTTAACAGGCCGTTATGTACATACTGATTCAATCCTAACAACAAAGGCATATCTTAGGTCAAAAATTAAAGTCTGCATCTATTGAGCCTTGGCTGGGAGATCACGTTAAACACTGATCCTACAAGACACTGTATGCAAGTTTAATGTGACTTAGTAACTCACGTAGACCACCCGACATATATAATAAATATACGCCGCACCGGGTCATCATCTGTGCGCACCGTAGTTCTCACTAAGCATTTGGGAATGAGCCTTGGTCCTATTCTTCGTAAATAAAACGATTCAGTAGTTTTTTGAAAGAACAAGCAACCCACCACACCTTCCTACACAAAGCACAATAAAAAATATAAAAAGGAAAAAAGAAGAAATAAAACCAGGTTCAAGATTTCACGAAATTTGCTATCAGTCATGTCTCGCAAAAAATCAGGACTTAACTCATGGCAATACCGATAAAGTATTCTCAAGATCAGCTATTGAGACTACGAAAATATAGCTAATCACAAACATCTTTTGTAAAACATTTGTGCTCGTTCTTTATGATAGCGTAGCTTGTTTTATTCATCACCCATCACTTTAATCATTTTAACTCTCATACAGCAAATAATTGTTCTTTATTTCATCTTATCAACATGCAGAAAAACCTAACAAAACACGCCATCATCCGTTAATATACGCCCATTCCTATGACTGCATACAAGACGCGCGTCGATCCTTCTAATCTGGCCTTCTTCAGGCTACAGTCTCACAGTCACCATAGTCTCAAAGACCTTTCTATTGCATCGGCCTCTTGTCAAATATACGAGGCGTCCCTCAATACAAAACGTTTTTCCACAATTTAGAAACAGAGCTTTTTAAAAACTGGTCTTTAAATCATTAAAATGTATCCTCTGCAGGTAATCATTTTAACTGGTTAGAAAGTTATTCCTTTCATAGTCAGATCATTTCTATAGTAAGCCACATGTATAATGATGTATAGAACTCATTGGCTTGATTTGTAATGAATCCTGTCTATAACAGTCAACTTGATTATTGACACATTTTAACTAGTTTTAGTTTCAAACTAAAGTATGTAACGGTTTTATAATTCCGGAAGAACAAACGTAAGAATGAAATTTAGCCAAGTAAAAGATCTTTGCCGATAAAAAGGTTATTTCTTGATAGTGCAAATTATACAGTATCACGTACATATTCAAAATTTTGTTTATTCGAATTATATTGTTTTAAAAATACCCCTTAAACTAATCATATTCGCATTTACTAACATATGTACTAATAACAACGATTCAGAATTAAACAATATATTACCTGAAGACAGCAAATATTTCCGCAGATTTTAACAAATATGTCAAAACATAATGTTAGAAAGGTTTGCGATGATCTAAGTTTTGCTTATGATTAAATCACTTTCTAAATATAGTAATATATTTTTTAGATTACAGGATATAGATAAGAGCCATACAAGTCATCAAGTATATTCACAACATAAGAACTTTACAAATAATTACATTTAAATCTCATAGTTTAAATAGTACAAAAAATAGTACAAACATCACCTTTATCATTGTACTATGATATTTTTAGTTATATTAATCATTTTTTTCATGAATACATTTTCAAGGAAATTATTACACGTATTTTCGACTTTTTTACCAATATATCATAATTATCCGAAAATATTTCTACATTTTTATGATAAGAGTGGATTGTCTTGTTTACTTAATATAAATTGCTGAATTACAAAAAAAAACAACAACAAAAAAAAAAAACAACAAAAAAAAACAAAAAAAAAACACAAAACAACAGAAGTATTTTAATGATAAAAAAGTTTCAAACAAAGTTTTTAGTCACATATTGATATTTCAAAAAAAAAAGCAGATAACGTAAGAGTAGGAATCCCAATTATCATATCGCCTAAGTTGTCAAGGAATGTTTACGTACATATCATACCCCCTGCATTGTCCCTAACATCAGTGTAAAGGAATGTTACGTACATTGTTTGTTTAACTTATGATAACATGAAAATGGCCATGATCATCTGCACTTGGCAAATCCTTCCCATTTGAAGTAAAATACAATATACTTGAAGCTAATCCCGCATTGTCAATAATTGTTTAATTTTATTCCCATTTACAAATTAACGTTTACAAACGTGTTTGGTGTTGATATTAGTCGTATATTAGTGCTATAGTTTATAGATCATTTTCACATTACCTCGATGAAAAGTTATGTCATAGAAATACTTTCCTTTATCTATATTTCTATTAAAGTGAGAATATGCCCATTCAAATGCAAATGGTAAGCGCACAGGTCAAAGTGAAAAAAATTTGTCATAACGTTACATACATTGTTTGTGTTAACCTTATGATTACATGAAATGACCATGCTTATCTGCACTTGTACTAAATTAAAGGCCATATCCTTCCCTTTGAAGCTAGTGCCGCATTATCGATAATATTGTTTAATTTTATTCACATTGTAACGACCAAGCGCCAAGCTCATTGATAATTTTCGAATAAGAAATTTTATCCGACTACTACAACACTATGAACACCGGTCTCCGTATTAATGGCAACATGAATCAATACCTTTTACATAATATATAATTATGTCACTGTACTTGATGCGAAAAATTTTATAGACCAATGTCAATTTATATCCATAAGATATTTAATATTCTACGTGAGAAAAACGTTGAATTTATCAGTTAGTTTCCCGGCTGCAGCGATTCCAAATGTAGGCTACATAACGGACTTTATTGTTCGAACAGCGCCGGCTGAAGCTATTGCGAATATAGCATAGATTAGATAAATACAGAATCCCTAAAGAAAGCCCAACACGGCAAAATTGAAAATGTTGCAGGCTCGGTTTGATTGAGCCTGTTCATGGACGGTACTGGAAAGTGCAAGTTACCGTCCACGCCCCCTAGCACCGGCTTAAGCAGAATTCAACATTTAAACATGAAATAGTAAAATTTTGAATTTAGAAACATCCGCAGATGTGTTCATACGGCGGTTATCATGGAACCTTCAATGTGACACAGTAGTGCAATTCCATGAAAAGCGGCGTATGGTCCCCAAGTAATAAAAAGCTTGCGCCCTAAACGAAAAAACAATGGGCAGAACTAAATAAAATGGAATTTTGAAGGGGGATCAGAGGTTATGAAGCCTGCGTATCACAGATAAGACGTCAAAAGACAAATTTAAAAAGCAGGCAACATATCCTAAGGGTGATTCAACATTATTCAAGTAGGAATATTGGAACCACCCAACTAGAAAATGCCAAAAAGTTGAAACTAAAAATACTACCAGCACAACAATAATGTCGTGCTGAACGATCTTATTCGTTCACAGAGCCGACTCGGGGTAAATTTATGCACTGACGTCATCGGCTATATGACGTAGATCTGACCCCTGATACTGTAAATACCCCGGCGCGTGCGTTCCGGCGGTCTGTGTCTGGATAGAACTTTGAACGGTAAACAAAGCCGTTTACAGACTAAGAAATACTAATAACACCTTACACCAAGGTAATATAATTATATTTGACAGTTTTTATTGTGCCTGATTTATTAGCCTCAGATAATTTTAGATTTCAAGACATCTTATTCAAGTGTATTGTTTTAATGTGACATATATAGAGAAATGCCTGATACCAGCTCCCATGTTGACTCACAGAAATGTTTATAAATATCATTTGGAATGTATCGTTAATGGTCAATCCATAAAAATAGTTGAACAGTCTTTTTATGTTAAAAACGACAGTTGTTTAATTTTATCCTAAACATTTTTCATTATCTATTATTGGTCAACGATTTTTATAGTAGCCAATTGAGCTCAACTTGATAGCGAAAATAAAGAGCATAATGTCATAATAAGTAATATGAAAAGTAAGATGAACAAGGGTAGGCGACATCAAATGAACACTTCCCTAATCAGACTGTCATAGCGAGTTCTCAAATAAATCAAATATTACTTGTGCACATGATACTTTCCTTACTAAACAAAGCAAATTGATGTGTAATAGTCTTCCATATTTTTCAAAGTTTTAGCTCTCTAAAATTTCGCTTGTATTTCTCTATACTGTCATATAATTCTCGTTCTTTATTAATATTAAAGATGAAAATCATTTTTATACGACCGAAAAATTATCGGCGTACATTATTATGCACCTGTCCGTCCGCCTGTTAGCAGATTCGTGTCCGGACTGTACCTTTTGAATCGGTGGAAGGAAATGGATACCACTTGTCAGAAATGTAAACCATAATGAGACGGTGTGCAGAGCGCAGGTTTGACCTTTCTCAGCTAACCTTTTAACTTAGAACCGATTGAAAGAATTTAAAACTATTTGGGAAAATATTACTTATGAGACGATGTACAGAACACAAATTTGAGCTTCCTGAGATCAAAATTATATAGTAAAGCATATATAAGTTTCGCTGTGTGAAACAACTCTGTCTAGAGCTTAGCTATTTATCATGTAGCAATGCCCTATTGACCTTTACAAAACTGGTATGAATCATGCCCCTCGGTTCAATATTGGCCCCGCTAAAGGAGGTCACTTGATTTATAAAGACTTTTATTAGAAAAACACATCTAAGACTTACTGTGTGAAACTAAAATGCCCAAAGCTTAGATATTTTGCATGTAACATCATTTTGTGGACCATAAGATAAATCGTATTAATAATACCCCTTAGGTAAATATTAACTCTGACCCCAGGGTTACTTCATTAAAATAATAGCTTTGTATAGCAAAACACATTCAAGTCTTATTTTGTGAATCTGCAATACCTAGGGCTTAGAAATTTGTCATGTCGCATTGCTTTGTGACTCTCTACAAAACTGGTATTGTTTATGCCCTATGGGCAAATATTGGCCCCGCCTCTGGGGTCACTAAGTTGATTATCTCTTGTAGGGAAATCACATTTCAGTCTTATTTTGTGAACTACAATGCAAAGAGTTTAAATATTTGTCAAGGATGCATTGTCTTTGTTGATCCCTAAAATTGATATAAATCATTCTCTTGGGGTCAATATTGGCCCAACACCCGGGGTGACATATACTATATAGACTACAATGAAACTTAAATATCAAGAGCTAAATATTTGGTTAAGGTAAAAGGAAAACAAATCTCACTTTTTGTGGATAACTACTATGCCCTTATATTTGGCATATGACATTGCCTAGTAGACTTCTTCGAAAGTGTTACTAATCATGCACCAAGGGTAAATATATAACCCCACCTTAGAAATCATATATTATCATAGGCATAATTAAGATAAAACGTTTTTCAGAAAAGTTTCTTGATTGGGTCTCTCCCTAATTGAAAGATTATTTTTAATTACTCATTTTATATTACTCTTACATTCGTGCGTATATTGCCCCGCATTGCAACGTTTATTTTTCAATATATTTTCAATACAATTAAATGTCAATCAATAAAAGAATGAACTTATAATATTCTAAAATTTTGATTTTTACTATGTTTTTATATTGCGTTTTCTTTTCTCTTTGGTATGTGTGTTTTTACGAAACTCAAGTTGAAACTAAGTTATTCTGGAAGTTTTTGTCAATGCATATATTCGTTGTATAATTCAATGTAACTGCAGTTGATATCAGAGCTCTTGTTTTAACATTTAAGTCAATTTGATTTTTTATCTGCACATGCTCATGCTTTAATCGGAGTAAAACATGGGAATTAGTTGTAAGGAGTGGGGTGTCATGCAATATGGTTAATAAATTTATCAAAAATTTCAGACGTTTATTCCAATGTTTAAATGTTTCAACATAGTCCTCCTTAGTTAAACCTTTTAACAATATTGATAACCTGTCTTCATGATTGAGACAAACTTAAACAAACCCCCCCCCCCCAAAAAAAAAAAAAAAAAAAAACAACATGCTTGTCAAAAAAAAATAAAAAACACAAAAAACAACAACAAACAAATTATTAAGTAAGTAAATAGTAAGAGTAAGATGTTCTGCACAAGAATTGAAAGCATTTATTGAGTAAGAATTAAATGTATAGGTATGATATTTTATTGACAAATAGTGTTGGTGTGATATATTGTTGACATTAGAATAGTTAACAAAATACAATAGATGCCTGCGACATGTACACAAATGAATTTCTCTTACTGACGAATGTTATATAAGCAATCTATAAACAGTATTTTCTGAATTTTTGACCTTAAGTTTCCAAGTGTAATGCACCAATATGATTTATTATTTCCCGATCAATATAGAGTCAATGCTTAAAGCTTTACCGTTTTCTTCCATATGACCTGAAATAATTGTCAAGGCAATTTTGACAAAGTCTGAAGTCTTTTCTCATGAATGGTACCATTAGATTTGCATATGCTCGAGCCCCTGTTTTATGGCCGTTGACAATATTCAGAACCAAATCATCGGGTCTGTCCTGTTCATTGATCTCTTCTAAGGATTCTAGCATTCTCTCTATTGACGATAAAAATTGTTCGCATGGAAATTTGTAATCTTTGCCATCAAGAATGTTGTGGTTTCTGATGAATATACTGGAGATGTTTATTTTGAATTTCTCTCCCGGCATAAAAAATCTTAACAACCTGCTTGGTTCTATTTGTTCCACTCTTTTTACCTTGGTAATTTCGTACAGCAATGATGCCAATATGACTTTAAAGCAAACTGCCAGATTTGCATTTTCTCGACAGTTAAAGTCATGCTTTATCACAAGCATTTTGAATGCATAAGACGGAAGATAAGAGTATCCTCCCCCACTGTTGAAAATGTATTTCAAAAGCTTGTAGCATTCTTTGTGATGATTGCTTAAGTTTCGAACAAGCTCGACCTCTGTCTCCGTAAATGTTAAACGAAAACAAAAGCCCGCAACACATGATGTTGACTCATTACATGGAATAAGCATATATTTTCCATGTCTGATGAGCTTTTCCCACACTTGTGAATGAAATGTTTCATTCTCTGCTATCACATTACCGTGTCGTGACATGTTCACTTCTATTGCTAAAGTCATATCTATATTAATCGTCATTTTTCTATTATGCTTTGATTCCCAAATAAATGTTGGCATAAATGCTGGGCCGTGATTAACAACATGCTTGTCTACAGTTAACGTACCCGAGTTTCTACTACATCTTAAATCTCCTGAATGTTTAATAACTTTTTCGACTTCTGACATAAATGCATTTGCCAGACTATCGTTATACGGATTTAAAAGACTCTGAGAACTTTCACTTTGTAATGGGTCTCTTCGCAGCCATTTTCTGCCTACTGATTTAAAATAGCCATATAATTCAGTAACCTTTCCAGTAAAATCATGGCTAAAAGATCCTTGCAAGTAGTCCCCGCGAAGAAAAGGTTTCCATAGAGACTGAAGGCGTTGATCAGTTACTTTCACATGTGCATATCCCTCTCTCCACTTACACACGCGTTCAACTTTGACCCCATTTTGGTGAGTTACAATAAGGAAATCAAACTCATCAGGGTTAACTATACTCGTTCTTTCTGCCATGCTTCCAACTTTAAGTATTCGGAGTTTGTCATATGGACCTAACCAGTCTACATTGTTTGCAACTCTTTTAACGATATCATGTACAAGTGTCTCAGCAGCGAGAACAATGTCTTTTGTTTCATCCTGAGAAGACCGAAAAGAAACACGGTTGCTCAATAAATCCCGAAAGAAATATGTAAGTTTACAGTTTTTCTCCTCTTCGACGGCGGATCGCTGAGGTTTTGAGCAAGCCATTTTGTTGTGGAGTGTCTACTCACTGTAAGGTTTCTTAACCGAAAACACAAGCTTTTTTTTACACAGTCTGGTTACCATCCCTGCAAATTATGGCAATACTATCATGAAAATATATGAATGTAACTAAAAATGCGAGAAAAGAGAGCACACCTTGCAAAATGGCGAATGGCGCTCAATATTTAAGACAGATTTTTAGTCCAATATTTTGTCAACAAATTTATTCCTCATCAGGAATATTTTTTCGTATTTTACAATAATATTTTAAGATAATATAGAAATAATAAGTAAAAATAATAACGTTCAAACCTTACTTTTTACGCCCCTAATTTTGTCAAAACATATAAAATAATATAACAAAAGGGCCATGATGGCCTTGAGGTCGCTCACCTGTATATAGGCCCCCGGAGCGGGGCCAGTTTAAACCCCAGGGCTGTTATTTGAACAAACTTGGAAGACACCCATTAGAAGATGTTTCATGATGTTAAGTTTTTACTACACACATATAATGAAAAAGAATGACCTCTGCCCCCACCCCCGGCAGTACCAATTTTAACACAAGGGCTTTTATTTGAACAAACTTCTTAGACACCCACAAAAAGATGTTTCATGCTAAACATCTAACCTCTAGCTCATTGGATTTTTTAAAAGAAGATTTTTAAGTTTTTGCTATACACATATAAGGAAAATCAATGACCTCCGGGGCAGGGCCAATTCTGACCCCAGGACTTTTATTTGAACAAACTTTGTAGACACTCACTGGAAGATGTTTCATGCTTAATATCTAAACTCTAGCTATTTGGATTTTTTCAAAAAAGATTTTTTAAGTTTTTGTTATACACACATAAGGAAAATCAATGACCATCAGGGCGGGGCCAATTTTGACCCCAGGGCTTTTATTTGAACAAACTTTGTAGACACCCATTAGAACATGTTTCATGCTAAATATCTTAGCTCTAGCTCTTTGGGTTCTTTCAAAGAAGATTTTTTAAGTTTTTACTATATGCATATAGGGAAAATCAATGACCCCCTGGGGCGGGGCCAATTTTGACCCCAGGGCTTTTATTTGAACGAACTTGGTAAACACTCACTAAAAGATGTTTCATGCCAAATATCTAAGCTCTAGCTCTTTGGGTTTTTTAAAAGAAGATATTTAAATTTTTTCTTTCGGTTGCCATGGCAACCAGAGTTCTGCATGGAATTAAATTCTTTGAATAATTTTTAAAGGTGACCACCAAAGGAACATTCCTGTGAAGTTTGGATGAAATTGGCTTAGTGGTTAATGAGGAGATGTCATTTAAAGTAAAAGTTTACGGACGGACGGACGTACCAATTTTTCAGGTTTATGAGCTATTTCTATTGTTCTTTTCTTTTGTTTCCTTGTGGGCTAACTATTGTTTCCTTATGAGCTAACTATTATTTACGGAATGAAATCCTTTGTTCTCTTTTGTCCCAGTGTACTGTTAGTTAGCTCATATACCTAACATGTTTGTGCGGACGGACGGACGACGGACGGACGGACGGACGCCGGACGAAAAGCGATCACAAAAGCTCACCCTGTCACTTTGTGACAGGTGAACTAAAAACATTGTAAATTTTCTTAACTTATTAACATAAAATCGTTTACCTGACACTTCATTGTAATGACAACAAAATCATAGCAATAAAAACCAACATGATGATCAGTAACATTTAGTTGTTCTAATTTTTATAACATTTGTCAATTTTAATTATTCTTTTCTTGACAAAGTTTAACGTCTTTGTTCCTATTTATAGTACATAAAATACATAGCTCATGTTTGTACAATAAAATATCTCTGTTATCTTGAGTGCCTATTGAATATTTACTTTTCCATGATTTATAACGGACTTGACGTACTTGCTTTATATATTTATGCTTGTCACAAATGGTTTAATGCCACATCTTATCTATGTGTATTCCACCTAAAGAAAGTTTCAAGAGCTTAATTTGACGAATCGTTACAGTACCAATTTAGATTACAGAACAGGCTCAATCAAACCGAGCCTGGAACATTTTCAATTTTGCCGTGTTGAGCTTTCTTTAGGGATTCTTATTTTCCCTATTTGATATCATTTTATTTGTTTAAGATGTGTGTGTTTTTTTAAATTATACAGCTTTATTCTTGAATAAATGAATATGTAAATAAGTTAATTGTGAAAATATAATATATATAAGCGAAACATTTTGATAAATAAATCTAATAATAAATTAGTACAATGCAATTTTTGTATTTCTTTTAATTCAGTTTATGAAATAAGAATATATACAACCTAGCCATGTATTTTTTACCTTTTTTAAAAAATATTTGTATTCCAACTATTTGAAAAAAAAATATATCCCCGTAATCTTTCCTGTAGCCCAATGTCTACATTATTAAAGAGATATGTACAAACTAATTCTTTTAAAGTATTTAAACAAAATAATTGTACCACTAAATAACTATCAGAAAACGTTTCGCGGTTCATCATGCTCTATAGGAATGATTAAAATTTAAGGATCCTTAAAATCGAGAATACACGTTAAAACTATTCAATTTATAATTTGATTTTATTAGATTTTTTTCAAAATGTTCAAATAAAAGACTTCGCTAATGGTTTTGTTTTCTAAATGTGATACATTACTTGCTAGCAATGTTAAAAGAAGATATTGAAAATTGTTATGTGTACTTAACGTTATATTGTTCATATCCTAGAACTTATTATCTATTCTTATATTTGACAAGTTTTAAATATTTATCTTGTTATTATTTAAAGTAATACTTATAAATATTGATATATTGGTTAACATAATAAGAAAAAATAATAAAAGAGTACCAGAATTAATAAAATAGTTCCGCACTTTTTAAGTATTGTTCATTTATCGATCACCTGTCCGTATGATTGAGACAAACTTAAAAAGTTTGGCTTGAGATCAAATCTTGATAAGGAAGTAAAGTATATTCAGATTTACGGGAAAAGAGATAAGGTGACATGAAAATTAAGTTATCATATATGCTGATAATAATAAAAGTTGCAATGTCATTGTGCGATTATGTGAATTTATTACAGTGTTTCAGCTCAATCGACAATTGACATTATTTATTTCATTGATAGCAGAAGTTTACTGCATGAACAATGCAAATTTATAAGCTATACATGTATTATTAATACTTTTGTTTTAACATTTAAACAAGTGGTTGAAATTTATATATTATTTGATAGTCACAATGTAAAGACTACTCACTGGAAAACTAATTTAAGATATATTTTAAATCAGGAATGTTATGTGAAATAAATTAAACGTGATAAAGCGGCTTTAGCTTTTCTAAATGTTAAATATGTTATTCTTTTAGATAAATCGTTTCATATAATTGTCAAGTCAAAAGAATAAAGGTAGAAAATGAAATTTGAAGTGATTAACACACACAAACAATAAGGAAACTCCTCGATACCTCAAATCTACCCGTCCGCTCTCTAAATGTGAATTAGTAAAGCCACGATCTTCTATTTTTAGAAACGAACTCTAAATTAATAGCTCTCAGGTTGAATGCTTAACAGTGATATGATGCAACTTTTCCGAGATATAATTTCTTAAATTTGAAACAACACAGAATGACAAAAAAGCTGAAGGCCGCTTAATTTTAAATCGAGTGCATAAAAATACCAAACATGTATAAAATATTGTCAATATTCTTAAAAACACAAGAAAGTTAATTTCATGAACAATATAAAATTATTCAATATTAATAATATTTTTTTAACAATGTTTCTTAACAATGTTCGTGACGTTAACAGCCTAACAGCCTAGCAACCCAACTTAGAATAGTTCAAACATTAAAACCGTTGGAAATGCATTAGTAGCACTTCCTTAGATGACTTTTTAAATACCGTGATCTTTATTTTTTAAGATATTGAATTTTCTGACGCTTTGAAATTGTGAAGTTAGCAGCCTGTCAGCTATAAGAAAACTATGGATACTTTAATTATTATATCCGTCGGAAATGAATCAGAAGCACTTTGTTAGACCATTCTACGCATTTTGTCAGTATCGTGATCTTTATTATTTAAGACGTTATAGTTTTTTTTTCATTCTGACGCATCTTCGAAATTTGTGTAGTTTACAGCCTAGCAGCCTGAAGAAAATTAAGGGTATTTAAAACATTTTATCCGTCGGAAATGAATTGGTAGCACCACCTAAGATCATTCCGTGCCTTTTTTCAATTTCGCGATCTTTATTTTATAAGATCTTGCACTTTAAAGTTTTCATTCTGACACACTTCGAAATTTGTGAAGTTAGCAGGCTAGCAACCTTGCCAAGAATAATCCAATTAACTAGATTTAAATTATTATATATCAATTTTCAGTTATAGCGTACTTTTTTAATCTTAAAAGTTCAGCATTTATAAAAAGGATCACGACATTGAATAAAGGCATGGAATGACCTAAGGAAATGCTGCCGCTGCATTTCCGACCGTTTTAATGTTTGTAATATCCTGAATTTTCTTAAAGCTGCCAGGCTGTTAGGCTGCTAACTTAACATATTTCGGAGCTTCAGAATACAAAAAAGTTCAGCAGTTTAAGAAATAAAGATCACGATATTGAAAACTTGCGTGGAATGATTTGAGGATGTTCTACAGATGCATTTCCGACCGCTTTCATGTTTGTAATATTCTTAGTTTTCTTTAAGTTGTTTGGCAGCTAGGCTGCTAGGCTGTAAACTTCACGAACATATTATTCTATATCAATTGTTAAAATCCAGTCCCTAAAAATAAGAAAAAAAACTTATACTACTTTTCAATCAAATATATAGCAAAATTGGACGCTGTAATTATCCTATATTGGTCAGTTAAGTGCGTTTGGTCTTTTCCATGTAACGTCTATGATAAAAGTCGTTAACGACAAAAGGACCTGAATGAATTCTACTGGAGCGATGCAATATCGAACAATAACAATATCAAATATGATAAACAAGATCACCAAGGAAAGGCGGCGTTCAACGAACGCAGCAGTCGTATTTCCATAATATTAAACAGGTACAATATGGGAATATTGCTGGACTCATACACAATACTTTTGATAAAGCAAGCATGCATATTTACATGCAAATCAGTCGACCAGTTGTCTATATATAATCCCATTATATATATCAGAAAAATGATGGAATCTGAAATTAAATAAGAGTTTCTTAATTAAATGTCAACAAATAAAGAAATAGACAATACTGATATCTTGCTAAATTGAAAGAATTTATATTTGTGTTAATAGATTGATGAATTTGTAAGTAAAGTGTAATCTGTGTATCTTTTAATACTTTTATTTGACCATTTTATTTTATTTATTACTTTTACTTTTTATTTTATTTCTTTATTTCTTTATTTATTATTTTTTCTTATTTCATATATATTTTCCATGTTTTTTATTTACGACAATGCTATAGCATATTACATTAGTTACAATAAAACTCAATTGAGAAATTCAAACAATGTCTTCAACCTCTAGTGCACTATCAGTCGCGCTTGCGGTGGCGAGTTCGTCTACGGTGACAAGCGAGGACCTCAAAAGGTGATTACCAAGAAGAAATGAATGGTGAAATTTTCACCAAGTGGCTTAATCAAAAGCTAACCCCATGTCGTATGTAGGTGCAATTTACATACATGACACAAACACGAAGTACCCGTGCATTGAAATAAAAAAGAAATTATTTTAAAGAAATGGAACTGCTGGGGTTTAAACCCGTATCGGTATGATAACACTGCACTACAACGTCTTACTGCTAATACCATTTTCAATAAGTAGCTTTATACTATCCAAACACACACAACAAAACTTATCTGAAGTGCACTGATCTATGTTATATTAACAACGGTTCCGTCACCAGTACAGTCAAACAAACAAGCGAAGACACAACAAATAAGCAAATACTCGTACAAACCAGACACAGTATTTCACGGAGAACGCAATATACCAGTGACCAATAGGACAAGATACACAGGTTACACAAGTAAGTGTGCGTTTTACCGTAGTTTTACCTGATTTATTTTCAAGGATCTAACACTGCAACACTAACACCCGATTCCGAGAATAACAAAACTGATGTCCCACTTAAGACAAAAGTTCAGAGTTTGATAGGTAATCAGTTTACTTAGCTGTTAAAAGGAATTACAGGTCAGCCATGTTTATTATGTTTAATTATCTGTTTTTAATAAAATTTTATAAGTATCGTTATTAATTCGGCTGGGATTGATTTTGTTGAATATGCATCTTATGTGTTGCTATTAAAATATACATTAATTATGTGTTCTTATTTCTGTCTTAGAAAATAAATATCAGAGATTCATGAGACAAGATGTTTATTTGGCAATCATTGATGGTAAAAGTTTGAAGAATGAATTTCAAACTTTTAATTATAATTATACTGTAGAATTGCAGAACTGACCTGAACTTATACATGTATAAGAAGATCTCATGCTTTAAAATGTGTGCATCAAAAATTAGAGTTTACTCCATATATGTACACATTGCAGATAGCCTGCTAAACTCAGGGGTATATTCGCAAGGAATAAGATAGATAAAGGAACACATGGGGTGGCATTGAAGATATGTACAATATCGTGTCTTGCAGACATTATGGGCATCATGTAGCATGTACCTCCAAATCATAAAGATGACCACAAGATGACCACAAGATGACCGTAAGACTGTTTACTATTTAAAACTGAATCTCTGAAGTATAATATTCTAAAAATATATA